ATGAAACTAATTTTAGATGTAAGCGACTTACCCTGAATCACAATATAAAAAAGGAAGTGCACTTATCAAAGGTGGCTATCACAAATTGATGCAGAAGGAAAACATTTGCAAAAAACAAGTTGTGCTTTTTTTGTTATCACAGGAAAGGCAAATGAAAAAACAGAATTTTGTTTGACACAGAATAAACCAAATTTATTTTAGCTGATAACATCAGGGTTGTTCAGACCAAATGGACTCTCCCCTTGGACCCAGAACTAGAAAGTTTATAGACTGATGTTCTATGGTATAAAAGGTAAAAAGGTAAAGCGACCATATTTGCTGTCAATAACCCATGACCGTAATTCAACTGAGAAACTAAAGGTGAATGTTGTGCTCACTTCACTCTATATCTCAATCAATGTTTTGTGTTAAAAGGGTATTAGAACACTAGATGTTGAAACAAGGATGTGATGTCACTGGAGTTTGAATTTGGGACCTCGCGCAATGAAGGCAGCGGACTAACCAACTGTGCTATCCCTGTGTCGTCCTTTTTTATGTTGGAACAGTAAACTACGAGTAGTTACCATTTTTCCTCAGGGAAAGTAGAGCAAGTGAAACACGAGCGCGCATGAAAATCAACCCATGGAAGGAAGGGCGAGACGCACATCTAAGACATCTTTAGCGAACTCATGTTTTGCTTGCTCTTCTATCCCTGAGGAAAAATGGGGACTACTTGTAGTCTATTGGAACAGAAACTTGATGACAGAAACTTGTTTTTCTTTCGGTTCTTTTTTATAGATTTAATAGATACCTTTGTATCATTTATGGAAGAAAAGCCTCCTTGGTTGTCAAGAAAGAAACAGTTGTTAGCAAGCATCATTTATTTGTCAGTTGAGAGTGCTTCTGCTTTGTATACTCTTAATGGAAGCAAGCTCTTTAAATTTTTTGAAAACGTCTTCAAAGAGATCTGGTAAATTTTCTTTCATTGTTATATGTTGTTAGGGATGCAGGGTTGTCAGAAGGTTTAGAAGTAGACGGCTGAGTTGCCAAAGTAAGCAGCCAGTCCAGGGATATTTTATTTAAAAAACGCCATCTGTAAAGAAATGTCAAGCAGAGTAGCCGGCCGATGCTAACCAAGTAGGCAGCGATTTTCACTGGCAGCCGGCTACTTTTGACAACCTTGGGGATGGTTAATTTTTTTGGGGGGGTTGGGGGAGGGGCTGGTGGGATTTGATGGGTACAAGTACAGGGGCCAACAAAATAAATATTTTCCAAAAACTTTGTCCCTGGGCTAGTAGTGGTATTTGAGAACTAGTAGTTTTTATTGGAAAGTGAGGTGGTGTGAGTAAAACTTCAGGGGCACCCAACGAGAATATAGTTTAAAACCACTTAAACATGGCATTGTTAAATGTATTTTAGTATTTGAACAGTAGATATAGGCATATTTTTATCCCCGAAAAATTTTTCATCTGTTTGGATTTCCTAGCTGAAAGTCTAGTGATCCGAAAATTATAGATATCAAAACTTACCTTTTCGAAAATTTCAGCCAGAAAAAAGGCTCCCGACAATTCTAGGTGACCTTTTTATGGTAAAAATCTGTTAAAAATGAGCAATTATACCATTTTTTATATGTTCGAAAATCCTAGAATAGGCAGGGAAGCAAGAAATTTTACAACAAATGTTCCAAAAATCCTAGACCTCAAATTGTCTTTGGAACAGATATTTTCCGAAAATTAACGTTGGGTGCCCCTGAAACTTATGCAGATTTATTACATTTCACAGTGTTTGAATCAGTTGCAGTTTCTTTCTGTGGTGGCGCGTAAGGGACTTTAAATTCGTACTTTTTTTTCAAAAACATTTTTATCACCACTTTGAAAACAAGATGTACTGTTCAAACTAGAGATTAAGGTGTTCAAAGTTGTGAGCAGTGACATTGCAAGTGCAGTGTCATGTTCAAAAAAGCAAATTGTGAAATCAAAAGAGCCATGTCATGTTCGAAGTACAGATTAGTGTGTTCAAAGTGGAGAGTGCATTACTTCTTTTTTGCGAAAATATTGTTTTGACAAATATTTGCTAGCAAATTTTCCCGACAGCCTGCAACCTTGTTGAATTTGGTATTCTTGCTAAATTTGCGGACTTCCTGAGGGCCTTCTTTTCCTTTCTTCTTTATAGAAATGATCTTTGCTAAATTTGTTATTCTTGATAAATTTTTTGTGTGATATTTGCAAGACAAGTGTCTGAAACATTTTCTTGTGAATCATGTTTTGCTAATATTGCAATAACACTTTTCTAGCAAATTTTTGTGAAAGACTACAATCCTGGACATATTAAGTGACTGTTCCATGTCAAATTTAAAAAGAAGGTGCAAGGGTTTATTACCATCCCTTCCATATAATTCTATCAAATGTCAGGTATTTACACAGTTAAAGAACTGAATTGTTATTATTTGTTAACAGTTCCTTCTTTTTATCTTGCATGGTAAGGAATGACGGCAACCCATCTCTTGTTGAGTACTTCCTTTATGCTCTGAATGCATTTGTAAAGTCTTGTGCTGATGATTGTCGTGGGCAGGTTTGCAGATTGGGAGAAACTCTGTTTCCATTGATGCTCCAAATGTGGAAGAAAACTCAGCCTGTTGCAAAGGTTTGAAATTCAATACTGAAATGGTGAATGCGTGTAGGCATTCATGCAAATATGCCTAAATTTAGGTTTGCCAGGTTGGATGTGTGGTTTAGGCCTTGCCCAGTCTGGCAGCGGTATCAGACATCCAGGTCAGATCAATCTGAGAGTTAAAAGGTACTCTGATTCATATGCATTTTGTTAACAATTATTTCTAGTGGAGCAATAGAGGGAAGAATTAATGTTTTGTGTTAGTGTACAGACTAAACAAGAACTTGCACAGCAGTAGCAAGGTGTTTCTAATACTTCTCAGATTGTGAAAGTTTGATACAACTAAGGGGGTGAATGTAGGCAACAAATGTTATGATGATGGGGGTTTGATATATTCAAGCACTGGTTAATAACTAAATATTTGATTTGTTGCTTAGGATCAATTGATACAGTTCATGAGGCTGCAGGTGTGTGCTCACCATCCTCAAGGAGTTCATGAAGGTGAACATGGTGCTTGGAGCAGTAGTGTTAATCATTGGAAGGTTTGTTGACATGTTATCTCAAAGGCACCTTTTGTTGGAGTGATGAGAAGTGATGATGTCACAAGAACCTTATTGTGGAAATTATGGGATAGGTTGGCACATTCAGAAGCAACAAGATGAAAAATGTCCACTTGCTAAAATCAGCCTGTTAGTGTAAATTGATGGGGAGATATAGGCACTGTTATGTGCCAATGATGACTGCACATAAATCCTTTAAAATAGGCCTGGATCATAATCGTTTCAACCCAAGCCAATTTTAGAAGGATTTGTGTGGGGTTATCAGAGCATAACAATGCTTATATCTTCCTACTAATTTGCACTAACAGGCTGATTTTTGGCAAGGGGGCTTTTTTTCATCTCGCTCTTTCTGAATATGTCAACCTATCCCATAATTTTACAAATTTCAAATTTTGTGTCAATCACACTTTTCTCTATATTATTTAAAGATACCAAGATCAGGACACCCCAAAGGCTTTTCTGTCACTCCCTTTTTGTAGTAAGGTTCTCCTTAAGTCTTAACTGACTAACGCTTTGTTAAGCTGCCAAAGCATTAGGAATTAAGTAAGTAACAAATGCAGTTTTAAAATAGAGCCTGTTTGGGACAATAATTAAATTTTGACTATCAATCATGATCTCCTTTGGTCAAGCTTTTCTTAGGTTGATGTGTCTTGTTCTGTTCTTACAGAGAGAAGTTCAGATTGAATGAAAAGTATTGAGTTCTAAATTCATACAAGAAACTCATATAAGAGCTTTGGTTGACCCAAACCCTTACGAGTGTCTTTTATATAACTCAATTCAGTTACCTTGAACATCGTAAATAAATGACTGTCACTGTCTCATTTCATTAAACTAGAAATGTCTTCAAAGATTATACTCAGCAATAGTGGATGATATTGAACAGTTAAAGAAGAGGGTCGTTCGAACTTCCAGGTATGGATTTTTAGATAATCATCATAGATAATAGTTATGTTATTGGACCACCTACACATAGGTGGTTTGTCAGGGTTTTATTAGAGAAAACACTTAGAAATATCAATCATTCATTAGCTGGTTGTCACTGTATGTAATATCTTCAGAATAATAAAATATATTGCACAGAATAATTAATTTGTCAGGAGACAAAAAAACTGAAACTTTCTTTTCGTTTTGATATCTCTCGATCCAAATAATTGAACTGATACCTGGTAATATACTCTGGGTAGCCTTTTAGTACTTGATTCCCATTTCTGGGTGAGAGGGGCCAGTGGTTTTCATTGCAAGTCAACAGTTTGCTGCAGAATCCAGTTCAAGCTATTTGGGTAACCAGGGATTGTGTGTACCTCTTTGTACCTACCAGTATTTTTTGCAACTTACTTTCTACATGTATGAATATTTTCTATATTACTTTGTTTCATATCTATGCTGTCAATATGGAATCCTTTTAAACATATTCTTGTATGACCACAGCGTGAAACTGGATCCTGGATTTGCCCCGCACTTTATTGAACTAGCGGCAGATGTTTTTCATCAGGTATGCAAAAAAGACAAACTTTGGTTGTATTTTGGTTGACCAATCAGTGTTTTTGCACAGTATCATGGCCTCCTTCAGAGAAGGAGTAATTTCTTTGCATGTTAAAGAATTTTTCTGAGTTAGTAAACTTTATATATTGCAATCGTTAAAGAGTGCAATGAACTTTCTTGTTGTATTGTTTTGTAAGCATTTTGTTTCGCCTATGGATATTTTTTCAATTAAGGGGGTTTATATAGGCTTGCTTGGATGGGGTAAGAATGGATTTGTATGAGCATTTATAATATTTAGATATGAGGTTTTTTGTTAACCATGTTCAAACTTATTTCAGGTGTTTTGGGCACAAAGTAATTACCATTCCATCAGTACCAACCAAGACTCAACTGAACCAGGTTTGGAATAGTAGTGACGAGTGCAAAATGACTATTTTAAACCTATGCTTGCTTGTTAAAAGACTCTTGAATTATGTACAGTACTTACTTCTGTATTTAAAAAGATTGTTAGTTTATGGTGAAGTGGTTTGTAATTAATTCAAAAGGGAGGCTTATTAAGTTAACAGAAGTTGTGACTGGATTAAAAGAACAGGATATTGTGTTTGTTTGATTATAGGGGCTAAAAGACAGAAAATTGAGCTTGGATGGCAGTTTTCAAGAGAGGTTTTGGAAAACAGTTCTGAGAATCTGGTATTGCTTTCCTGGTAAGGTGTTTGTAAAGTTTTTATTGGAAATGCATTCTGTTATGGTAGAGTCTGAGATAACAGAAATACTTATTTTTAGAGTGTTAGTGAGTGTGGGTAAGTTACTGCTTTTTGACTGTATTCCACAGGGATGATTGTGGGAGTTTTCAGTTGCACTATACTATACGCAAGTCTGTACTATGGGGTTCTCTAAATGCAGATACATTTTGCAAACTTCAGACACGCTATATATGTATGTTAATAGCTAAGTTGGTTTTAAGGTAGAAAATAACTCTTACCTTGCGTTTCCTTTTTACATTCTCGGCCGTCATCTTATTGTGCATGTCTACTATGGCCCTCACTGTACATGTACTTCACGAAAGTCATGTGCATGTCACATTTTGGTCAGAGCTGTGTGTGCATTGTAGTTTTTGAAAATCGGTTTGTGGAATGAGGAGTGGTGATAAGGGACGTACAGTGTATGGTCTGCTACAAACCAGATTTCTGTTTGACTCTGTCTTGTGGCCTCTGGCATGTGAAATGTAGACAAAGGACCTTAGATCATACTCTGCCATCGTGGAATTTGAACTATACATACAGGCTGGTTCTAAATATCAAAGGAACGTGCGTTTGATTCAAATGTCACTCTCTTGCTTTTTAGGCTTCAGATCCTACCTTCCTTATTTTGTAAGCATCCTTCAAGTATCCCTGCAACTGAGTTCCAACCTTTCTTCTTGGTCTTACACCAATTACAAACCAAACACAAAAGGTATGAAAAAGATTGTTATGTGATTAATGTACAATGTTGCTTTTGCAAATCCCTTAGTATGATAATAAGTTAGCGAAAATTTTCGTTTTTTTTTCATGTCATATGTGACATTTTGTTTTGTTTTCTTAGGCACGAGACCATTCAGCAGGTTTTAAGAAGTGTTGAAGCTCTGGTGCAGTGTTTTGCAAAGAGAAAATGTCAACTGGAAAAACATGTCATTGAATCCATTAAACCAACTCTGAAGCAGATTTGGGTATCTGCATTACGTATCATTGGGATCAAACATGTTACTGACTCTGGTTTTTCCCTTCTTATTGCCCTTTTAAAGGTAATTGTTCACTTTAAATAATAGGTATTTTTCCTAGATCTGGTTCTGATTTTCACGTCTTGGATATATACTGAGCTCACAGGTTGTTTTGCTGCCCCAACATCTTTTACACATTGATAGAATTTTTGCTATTGGAATATTACAGTGCTCCCAAAATTTTTTCAGAGCTTACTGGAGCTCCTGCCATTTGGCTTTTCAATTTCCCCCAGAATCTTTCAGAGGCTACACTAAGATATTTTCTCTGCTATGTCACTGCGTTCCGCCGCAGAGAAAACGTTTAAGTTCTAATCAGCAGAAAGGCAACAACACGTTGAAATAGGAAGGACACGACCAGTTGTGTTTATTGGGGACGAGAAAAAGCTAACGTACAAGAAATAAAGTAGTGGCGGAGAAAACGAATTACATCACTGTAAACTACGAGACTAAACATAAACAGCATACTAGAAAAAATTAAGCTCGGCAAGGTGCGAGCGGTAAAACTGGCTGTGTCGAGTGACTAACGCGAGAGGCGACAAGGCTTAAATACCGAGATGTGACGTAAAATCCCTAGAGGATCAAACTGCGGCCATAAATGCAAATTCCGAACATAAACACATTTCTCTGCTATGTCACTGCGTTCCGCCGCAGAGAAAACGTTTAAGTTCTAATCAGCAGAAAGGCAACAACACGTTGAAATAGGAAGGACACGACCAGTTGTGTCGAGAAAAACAAAGAACGAGAGCGAGCGCGCGTAACTCAGAGACCTATGCGCGAAGTAGCAAGAAGCTGACGTCGGAGATTTTCACGGCAATATAAATCCTTGGCAGAGTCGGATTTCCACCTGCCGTGGTTTTTAATGACGTGATCGGGAACTCCGCTATTAAGCGCAGCCGAAGCGCCCCCTATCCTAAGCGAGTGCAAGCCTATACCTGACGTATCAACACCGATGGCCCGAAAACTTAGCCAAAACGACTTCCGTCGCCCTGGTGTAAGACAAACTCGTACCGGAACGAAGGGAATAACCCTTAGAAGAGGAAAAAACTAAGGTTTTGAAAAACAAACTCAACCGAATCAAGATTACGCCTAGTCAGAGCGGCATAACGGAGCAGCATAGCGCAGGGGCATGCGGGGGTACCAGTACTAGCGATAACTAAAGTACACCATTTACCCAATTGATCGACTTTGCTTTTGGAAACGTAGAGCTCAATATGATCTTGAAAGAAAGAAATGTCAGACCACCTAAGACGACTTAACTCGTCAAAGCGCAAAAAACCAGCAAAAGCAAGCAAACAAAAACAAACGTCCCTGATATCCCCGAGGGATGCTGAGGGCGTAGCAAATCTATTACCTAACGCGACTAAATGCTCAGGCAAAATGGGTACCCTATTCAACTTAGACGGTTTCGAAGCAACGCGCTTACAACCTTCTAGAATAGCCAGAAGAAAAGCTGATTTGCAAGGATTCGAGACCCCGCAAGCATTATGAAAAAAGCTTATACTGTAGAACGCCTGCTGAATGGAGGAATATGAAGACCCTGATTGAACTAACGAAATTGAATACAAGGCTACGTGTTCCTCTTGAGCCGGGAAGTAAATAACCTCTGGGAAACCACTGGCCCAAGATTTCCAACGCTTGAAACAACCGTGGTAGGTCTTGAACGTGCTAGGAACCTTGCTGTGGGCAAGAACCGCTGGAATGTGCGTACGCAGGCTCTCCAAAGCCGGATGGTGAACGCGTGATACCCTGGAACTTGTAAACAAATAAAGGAAAAAATAAGGCATAAGAGAAATGGGGAAAAATGGTAGACGTGGAATTCCGATTGCAATTTATTAAACGTGGACAGCCAATAACACGTACATACTAAGTATAGGCAATAACAACAATATGCGGAGAAAACAAAAAACCCTAAAAATTCGTACAACGTTGCCAACAAAGGCCATAAGGTTAACAAAAGATAAGCAAACACGCTCTAAAGCGACCGTCAATAAGGCACTAGCCTGTAAAAAACTATGAAAAAACGAACCGGAATAAACCGAAAAAAGGACACGCGCTATAAAGCGCTAAATATCACACGTGAACCGCTATAAAGCGACAAGGGTCACACACGAACCGCTATAAAGCCCTAAACAGCGTACGTGAACCGCTATAAAGCAACGAGAGTCGTCCGTGAACCCTAAAAAGTGCTACATGGAATAGCGCGAAAAGCTCTGCAATAAAGTACCAATGCCTGAATAACGGCTCTAAACACGCGAGCTGGCGTCCAAATAAATAACAAGTACAGTTACTTGCTAGTGGTGTTCCTTCTTTTTGACTGTTGCATCACTGTGTTTCAGTCATTTGTTATCACGTAATGGGTTTTTCATTTGCTTGTTCTTACTTTGGTCATAGTCTATCAAAATTTCATTAATTCAAATTTCATTTTTTTTGCAGGAGCAGGTCCACCCAGATCCAGATATTTTTGTTACCATTTTAGGCAGTGGAGTTCCGTCAAGGTAAATTAACATTTTATAATGTGGTAATAATGCCCCACTGACACCAAAGCTTAAACATATTTGATAGCTGTTTAGTTGGACACCTCTTATATGTTTTATAAAAGCTGCTTACAGACTTTGATCGCTTGCAAATTGGGCACAGATTTCAGAACATGTTAAGTACATCTGAATCCTGTGTTCTACTTATCAGTATAGACAGGACCTTCAATTACCTTGTATCCTGTAAGAACATTGTTTCCTTGGTTTTAGGATCTCTGTGGAATTTCTATACACATATTTAGTGCACCATCATTTACCAGAAAAGCTAGATTGTGTCTCAACTGGAGGATTTCCTGTAACGAGGGAAGGTTCATATCCTCTGCGACATCAATTATTTAACTGGATGCTGCCCATAGATGATGGAAGTGATACTAGCAGTGATGTTTTGGCATTTTGGGCTGCCAAATCTTCAAGCAGGTATTAAGACATTTGGTTATTAACAATTTCAAGCTCGAAGTTCTGCTTACAGTCAACTTGTAATTGTGTTAAGGTGTTTGTTCATCAAAATAGGACAATATGATACGTTTGAAGCTACGTTGCATCCGTTTTATCATATTATTTAATTAGTTTCTTTCTCATCCGTAAAATGCCTATAAACGTATATGTTCAAATAGTCTTATTATTATATACTCTCCAATGAGCAGGCCATTTTCATAATTGGTTTTGAATGAAGTTTGTTGAGTTTGTTGCATTTCCATATTACTTCCTCAGAACATTGCAGTAGGACTTTTTTTCCAAGCTCCACTGTTGAAAATCGAAAGTAATTTTCCCACGTACAAATAGGTAGTGAATTAATCGAGGTGGGTGAGAAAGACATATTTAACCTCACACACTTTTGTCTGAAAAGTAACCTATTTGCTATTGTCATTTTACTTCGACAGACTACCTAATATGCCACAGTTAGCTACTGTCCTTGTGGCGCTTACGCAGAAATTTCCTACAACTATGGATTTTCTTCACATGAACTCGCCAAGGTAAGTAGTTTTAAAGAATGGTCATCACGCTCACGTATTATTGTTTTGCAGTAATAATTTCATTTTTTGGTCTTAGGTATCATTCACCTGAGGAATTTTCTCATGATGCAGAGCGAGCCCTTGATCAAATGCAGGAAGTTTACTTGAAGTCAACCTTTGATAAGGTCTTTCACTTCCTGTTATTTTTTTGGTTTGCCTTTGCCTGAGAAAGCAACTGAGACTTGGTGACTTCAATGGTTCCTCCCAAAATGGCGTCTAAGGAACAAGCGCAGAAATTTTTTATTGATGACTCATCGCTACCTAGATCGGGCTAGTGCTTTGGATTGGTTGATACGTTTGCTATAAAAAAAGAAAAAATGAAGCACCAGCCAGATAAGGGTAGTGAAACGTCATCGGTATGGAATTTCTGCGCTCATTCACGTCATTTCGTGGGGAAACCACTGGTGGCATCGCAAAGTGTGGTCTGTTTTCTCAGACTAAAATCGGTGAAAACATTTTTGAGACAATGTACTCAAATAAAGTAACTTCAGAGAGCAAACGAATCCACACGTCCCGTCCTGTCCCCTGTCCCCTCCATTCAAAGTTGGGGTGTTTGTCGTTTCTATGGTAGCTCGAACAGTGGCACAACATTGCATGGAGGGGATAGGGGAGGACAAGCTTCCCTCTTTTGAAGTCAATAAAACGTAAAAAAGCTCAGTGTATGGGAGAGTGTCTCAAATCATTTTGTTGCTGATTGTAGTTTAGCTCTCGCTTGCACCTTTTGAACTGAAACACTTGCAAATATATCAAGTGATTGGTATGCAGTCTTTCACTTCTTGCGTGTGTGTATCTGACTCACTAATCTGATCCATGAAATGTTTAGGCCTTGTTACGGGGGAGCTCTGAAAGACAACTCCGCTGTTGCCTTTGTGACGACTACAGTAGATGCAGGTGGTTATCAAGATAATTCATTCCAAAAGCTAGTGAAAAATGGAAATTCACGAATTGCAACTTACATATGTTCATCTCTCCAAACAAAATATCTAACAAGTTCGTAAGAAGCTCTAAAACCATGTAATATAAAATCTAAGAACGTTTGCCTTTTCTAGTTGCTAGCCCTTTCGTTGAATGGATGATATTTCCTTTCCATCTTTTATTATGATTTTTTAGAATTAAATAGCTCCTTTTAAACCCAACCAGCGTTTATTCAACGTATTTCCATGACATTGACTCTAACAATACAGGTCAACATTCGTTGCTGGAATGGAAGTTTTAACCAAAGGAAAAAGAAGCCAACGATTCAATCTAATTACAACAGAAAGATTGACTCGCTTTGTATCCTGCTGTGTGATAGATTGTCTCAAATAGCCACGGCACTGTGCGAAAACCTCGAAATACAGGTAAATAGTCTCGAGTCTAAACTAAGAGTCGCTATTGAAAATGGCAGTGTGTCTGTTATTTATAACTGTATTATTGTTTATATTGATCATAAGCAGTCCCAACACGTAGTCAGACGTAAAAGGCCGACCGCCGCCCGGTTAGCTCAGTTGGGAGAGCGCCGGTCTGCTGAGCGGGAGGCCGTAGGTTCAAACCCCGGCCGGACCAACACTCAGGGTCTTTAAATAACTGAGGAGAAAGTTCTGCCTCTGTAATAACATCTGCAAATGGTTAGACTTTCTAGTCTTCTCGGATAAGGACGATAAACCGTAGGCCCCGTCTCACAAGCCCTTGCACATGTAATAAATCTGTGGGACGTTAAAGAACCCACACACTCTTCGTAAAGAGTAGGGCACGTAGTGCCCGGTGTAGTGGTCTATCTCACTTTCACACTTATGTATGGGGGCATCATCACTCGTTCCTTCAGTACTTGTAAACTGCACCTTAAGCAGTCTGGCAAAGTCCCCCAACCAGTGTTGTAAATTATCCCTGAAAAGCCCTTAGGGGAGTGGATAATAAGATATTTACAGTTTACAAAAGGCATGATGTGCGTAGTGGAGATAAGTTATAACAATTACTCGTGCATAAGTTAAAATAATTAGTTGGTAGTAAGTTATTAAAGATATCTGTATCTTAGTCTTCAGGAGGTATGTCCAAAGAACGTTTGGTGTCATTTGGTGGAAGAATAGAGGGTCTAGTGAGGTTTTGTTGCTTGGCGTGTCAGGTGATGGTTTACTTGATAAAGAGCAACTCTTTAACCCAGGAAGAAGTGGAAAATCTGCCCGTGAAGAAGAAAATTGGGGTGAGTACATATGTTGTAGTTTATTTTTTATCTTAGCTAATTTTTTGCTTTTCTTTTGTTTTTGCTTATGGTAATGTATGCTAATGAAGTTGAGAGAAAAGAAAAATGAAAATTACACTGTAGCTCTAATGTAATAAATCATCGTGAAGGTGGAATTTAGCAATTGAAGCCAGGTGTCACAGGTGTAGTCATCTCGCGATAATTAGACACTTCTTCTGGGAGGAAGTGGTGTGTCACATGGCCACCTGTGGAAATTTTGACATCTTTCTGTTAGGTAGTCGTGATTTTTCTCGATGGGTGAAACTTAGGGCTCGTGGTATTTGTAAAGACATGTGCACCTCTGAACCTAACTGAACCTCTCTTCAGCCGGGGGCCAAGCGCCTTGGTGGGGAAAAGGACGAATAACGTCACGTAAAAAGCGAAGGACTGAGGAAGGGAAAAGCACACCTTTCCTTCCTCAGCTTCTCGGTCATTTCGCCTCTTTCTTCATACTCGCCCGTTTATTCAGGCTAACCTCTCTCAGGCAGACATGTGAACACAAACACACATCTAATCACAGTGCTAAGGAATCATTTGGGTGTTGCAGAATTTGTTAAACAAAGTGGCTGATGGGGTGAGTGAAATCAGCAAATCGCATGATCTTGAAGTAACAACAAGGATGGAAGTTCTCACTGGGATCATTTCTGAATTGGAGCGAATGTTCACTGTTTTATCTGTAAGTAGCTATTAAAACATCACGTGGCTATTTTTAGGCTCATTTTTTGTCAACTTTTCTCTTTTGTCCCCCCTGTCACACATGTTTAGCACTCCATCCGGCTTCATTGACTAGAAAAAAGGGGAAGAGAAAATAACGCCTGTTATGCGGGCCAGGATAATGTAGCTATCAGCTTTGACTTTAATACTATTTTGTGAAAGAACCTCCATCGCTTAATTTTCAGGAAACAGCGTTGTCACCTGAGCTGTTTTGTGGGATGATCTTAAGAGAAAAGACCCCACGTTCATTGCTGAGTGAAATTGTAGCCATTTACAGTGGAGAGGTAAAGTGGTGCAGTAATAGACCTTTTTAGCGATACGGTGGCCATATTGAATTTATTATATTTAAGGAATATTATGGGATACCCAGGGGGCACTGGCTCAGTATTTATGCGCGGTTTTCGGACAAAAAGAGAATTTCAATGTATATATCTCGGGAAAAAGGCGATCGTCATTATATCCAAACACGGCACAACGATCTTTTTTTCCCATTACAATCTTTTTCTAGGAAAACTTAAAGAAAAATTGACCGGAAAAGCGCACATAAATACTGATGCAAGTATACTGGATCGCCCTCATGCCCCTGGGCATCCCATAATACTCCTTAAATCCAATTAATTCAATATGGCTGCCGTATCGGTAAAAAGGTCTATTGTTCGTTCCTGTTCTGTGTATATCAAAATACCCTCCTACAAAACTTTAACCTCGATAAAGATAACTTTGTAGGCTGTCACTTGACCAAAGCATAACACATAGAACACCTTATATTCATTGCTGAGTGAAATAGTTGCCATATACACTGGAGAGGTAAATTTTCTGTAGTAACTAATCACTCCTGTGAAATCGTGGCCTTTGTGAAGTGGTGCATAAATTGAACACTTCTTTCCTGTATAACCTAAATTACCCTTCTCGAACAGTTTGACGTCTATGAATTTGTCGTCTGTTACTTACATTACAGTTTGACGTCTATGAATTTGTAGACTGTTACTTCACCAAAGCAAAACGCTGTCTTATGAATGACATCAACACGATAGACAATTTCTGGGTGTGGTTTCTGGTAGTACTGCCACAAAGTACGGTACTTTTTTTGTTTCAGAATTGTAAAGTTTAAAATGAGAGAATCCTGAAATATAGAGTACCACCTAATTAGCGGCAAACCATTTTGTAAGTAACCATAGATTGTAAGTAAAATATAGCTGTAGTGGTTTTGTTTTTTTTCCTTAGTTGGCACAGACTGCGTCGGTCAATTCTGGTCGTCTTGATATCACAGAGAGAAGTTTCGTCAGCCAGAGTACAAGTGTGGTTAGCATGGATGAAACAGATGGTTTTGATGATTTTGAGTCTGATCTGTCATCAAGTGATGAGCTTGTGACCATCCCTGGCTCACATAGCCAGTCCCAAAAGAAAGGAGTAAAATCTGGTGAGTCTTTTGAGTCTTTTTGAAACCGGAAGAGTTTAGTGATGACACTGATCAATGACATGATGCCCTTCATGTTTAGACCTTTTGCAAAAATCTCTAACATGGTAAATTTCACGTCATGCTGTGTCATCTTTTTTCTGTGTCAGACACAGCGGAGAACCTAGGAATAGCGTTTTTAGTAAGTCCAAGTTGTTTCAGTATTGATCTATTGATGTTGAATCTTGTCTTAAGCCTATTCCACCTTGCGAGAGAGCAGTGCAAGGTTTCTGTGCAAGTGGTCAATGCAGGATGGAAGAGATGTTGGCATTTCAGCTCTTGATCATCAACCAAATGATATCAAAGAAAAGGTTGTTAGCTTCTTTAATTCTGAGGTAAGAAGATAGATGTTTTCACTTTACTTATTTTTGTGGTTCCATTGGTTATGAGAGGAAGATTTTCACTCCATGGACTCTGAAGATTTTAAAGGGTGAAATGCAGTTTATAGATAAGGCGTGCAAATTCTTGGCAAAAAGTACAGGTGTTGCAGTGGAGAGAAGGCGATATATCCCCCTCAAACAAAATTGGGGGAGGGACTTATCCCCCTCCACACAGTTCAGTGCCGAAAATATCGTTAGCTTAGCCTTCGACAAATTGTCTGTCACCAAGGTGATTCTAGGCAGGTCCACAAAATTTGAACATCGTATTGCACATTACCTCAATCGGCGACAAAATTTTTGAGACATAGTACTTAAATAGGGTGACTTCGGAGAACAAAAGAATCCGCACCCCTCCCCTGTCCCCTCCATTCAAAGTTGGAGTCTTTGTTGTTTTCTATAGGCAGCTAGAACAAGGGCCCAACATTGTACGGAGGGGATGGGGGAGGAAAGCTATATTTCCTCCTTTTGAAGTTCATAAAACGTAAAAAAGCCTACTTTTGGGCGAAGTATCTCAACTCATTTTGTCGCCGATTGTCTGAATGGAAATCTACGCGCTGTTGTCCTATTAGCACCGGTTAGGAGACGGTAACTAGTTGAGATTACTATATTCATCGGGTCGTTTTTCAGAAGATAGATAAGATACCCTTATAATCCCTTTCCTGTGTTTTTCGAGGGAAAATTAGTTTTGACAATCTTTGTACTCGGTAGTGATTTCGAGTAATTACGCAGCATACCCACGTACCGAATGATTGATTTTCCTCTGGTAACTAAGTGTGATCGGTAGGAATCGATGGCAGATAATATATTGTATTTGAATATATCCCTAGTAAGTTCGAAGTGTTTATTCGAAGTTTGGCTATTTGGTAAGGGTGGGATGGACGATAAAATAGCCACGATTGCTATGCGCAGGAGAATTTTCAGGAAAAATGTTCCAACTTCTAATGCACAGCAAAGCTGCATAGCATCGCTAAATCTGTGCAGCAAATTCGTTGCCCATATACCCATGAGGGTCTTTGAAGAATGTACTTTACAGTAGAAACTGTGAGGTCAGGAGGAGACTGGCCACGAGTAACCATGAGTAACCAACTTTGTTCTTAAAAGATAATTAGATTATTTTGCTTTTTTACTCACCATGGTTACTCGTGGTTACTCGTGGAAATTCCTCCTAAAGAGCAATTTTAGCCATTATAACTACTTTAATGCCTAGAAATCTATTAAGTTTTCTATCCTTTTCACTTTGTTCTTTGTTTCGATGCGTTTCGATAAAGGAGAGAATAAGAAATTGTGCCCGACGCGCCACATCGCACGATGTCAAGGCACGGTTAAGCGTGACACGAAATGTCACGCACTGAAAATAACGAAATCGCCTTATTCTAATTGTTCTAAAATAGGTATGATGAAGTCAAACATGACAAATAAAAAGCCACCAGGGGTGTTACATCCCAGCATAAAAAAATGAATTCAATTAACTTTCTAAAGGACGTACGGCCACTTTTGAGATTCAGACAATCGGCGACAAAATTGTTGAGACATTGTACTTAAATAGGGTGACTTCGGAGAACAAAAGAATCCGCACCCCTCCCCTGTCCCTTCCATTCAAAGTTAGGGTCTTTGGTGTTTTCTATAGGCAGCTAGAACAAGGGCCCAACATTGTACGGAGGTGATGGGGGAGGAAAGCTATATTTCCTCCTTTTGAAGTTCATAAAACGTAAAAAAACCTACTTTTGGGCGAAGTGCCTCAACTCATTTTGTCACCGATTGCTGAGGCATCGGTGACTTCAAAGCGTTCATTTTATTTCCTGCAATGACCAAAAGCGCCAAGATGCAGGATCTTCTAAACACCTACCTGCTCAGGCAATAGGGAGCTTTAGCAACGACGACGGCGACGGCAACAAGAACGGCAAAAAAAACAATAGTTTTGATTAGCAAAACAACAACTTTGCACGTGCATCACACTTTTTTGTACATTTCTTTGACGTCACTACACGACTACGACGTGAAAATGCCTAATTTCACGATTTATGGAGAACGTAAACAAGCGACGACGAATTTTCCTTTCTCTTTCTAAGCTTGAGTCCGGTCCCCAAGAAATCAACTCCAGTGAAATTCGCCCACATTTCACATTTTCAGTGAACTGGAATAAACGAGACAAAAATTGAAAAAACGTGAATTCATTTTAAAAGTGACGTTTTCGCTGCCGTCGCCGTCGTCGATGCTAAAGCTCCCTATTGTCTAGGAAAGATTGCAGACAGACTGGCTACTGTTAAAATTGTAAAGAGGTTTCTTTTGTGCAATGTACTACCAAAAGAGCGTTTTGGGAAATTTGAGAAGGGGTATGCACCTGGCTTGTTGTGCGATGGAACTTTCCATGTAATCCCATACTTCGATACGCTCTACCGAGACCGAGTCTGTTGAATGTTTTTACCTAGGTACCTTTGCAATCAACAGCCAATCTGAAAACGGTTTCTTGGAAGTGTGAATTCTACAAATTAGTCACTGTGCTTATGCACTGGAACAGCTCATAGGATGGGTACAAGAAAATTCCAGTTGCACACACCCGACCAAAGCCAGTGCGAGTTTGGTTTGTTCTTGTTAGCAGAATGTAAAATAGTGGTACTGGGAACAACAATTTTGTCAAATGGAAAGGGACATTTCAATCCGACTGGCCAAAATGAGCGGACCGATCAAAGAAGACTACCATCAAAATTGTCCACAAATATTCTGGTCAGACCGAACGAAATGGTTCGTCCTTTTAATTTCTAACCGAAATGTCTGAAATTTTGGGCTGAGTGCAAAGCGCCCTAGTTTCAAGTTATCTGTGTTAATACCCAAGCACTTATAACTCCTTGTCTCGTCACTTTGTCGAAAGCACCTTGCCCTGTATTTGCTGTTTAGGAAAAATGAGATCGTCAAAATAGTGACATCATCTGAAGTTCTCATTTCTGGTTTCTTCCTTTTTTGCAGGAATTTAACATTTCGAAAGATGGAGATCTTAAGTTGGTATGTTCTCATACAGTAAAAACCCGCAACTAAGAACCTAAAAATTAAGAACCTGTTAGCCTAAAATTGGTCATTTATACCCCCTATAAAAAAAGAACCTATTTAGCCTAAGAAATTTAAAACAGGTTCTTATTTTCTAAAATCATACTAGTACATTACAGCTGCATTGCAAGAATCATATTTGAAGCAAAAAAAGCAGATTGCCATTGTTGTAAAAATGTTTTTAAAGAAAAATGAGTGCAAGATATGTAGACTTGCAAGGCATATTAAGCAATATGTAGATCAGCACACCATTATGCATTAAAGCAAGTAATAATAATAATGAGGATTAAGAACCCATTTTAAGAACCTAAACAGCCTAAAATTCTGTTAACTACCATTTATATAAGAACCTGTTTAGGCTAACTCCTAAAAATGTAGGTTCTTAGTTGCGGGTTTTGACTGTAGTGTTTGGTTGTTATTATTTTACAGTCACGCAATACAATTACCGCTTACAATGTCACATTAACTCTGTAGTACTTGATTCTCGAGCCAGTGAAAAGAAGTGTATTGGCCATGTAATTAAACTGATTTAGTTTCTAACCTCCTTCCACATTTTAGTATTTTACAGTATCCTTTGCCCTGGCATCCAGTAATACCTCTCTTCCAAGTCATCACTTGGAAGTCCTTCTGGACGTGTTTAGGTAATGACCTTAATTCTTGTATTTCTGATTCACTGTGTTCTTACAGGATATCGGTGACGTCTGTTTCCCTTTCGTAAACGGTCATTATCATTTTTTAACGGTCGATGCCACCATTTGTCGTGATAGATGTAACATATTCTCTGGATTAAGTTACAAAAGGCATATATTACGTTTTTGAATAGTGTTAGAAAGAACGGCGTTAAAGCCCAAGTTTAATTTTTATTTAAATTCATGGAAAGGGCTAGCGTCACCTGTTATTGCAGTAACAGTTGAGAGAGACACTTTGTCAGTGTATGTACTTAAATTTATTTCGGAATTTTGGAATAACAGATCAAAAATTTTAAAATGGTAGCGACCGTTGACGAAAGGGACAACTGCATCGAAGACATTGCGACACTCATATTGTGAAGGAAGTTTTAAAATCACTTTGCAGTAATTTAAATAAGTCTGGCAAAATCACCAAAACCATAAGTTAAGTTTTGTTAATATTTTACGTAAATTCCTCGTCAAAACATGTTCCATTACCCTGGACAATTCGTTATTAGTTCCCTTTACACAGTCACATTATCTTGTTTAATCAAGTGCCTGAGTGCCATTATTCCATTGAATGTGCTTGGTGTTGTTGTAAGACTGAAGGGCGTGACCGAAGGGCATGACAGTCAACTTTCATATAAGGAGCAGCACCACTGGCAACTGGGCTCACTAGAATCTGCCAGGACCTTAAAGCTACGAAACTCGTCAGTATCCTTTAGGTAGTGCTGGTAAAACTTCACGAGCTTTACGACGGAAAGCAATTTTTTTCAGTCATGTTACACACTAGTAATAATCAGCCGAAGGATGTGACGCGGCGTGTTTTACATGTGCTTGTTATTAATCATTTTTTAACAGCTCTTTTCACTATCGTGTAGGCAGGCTATGTCAAAGTATAGAAAAGATCAGAAGGTCTGTTGTCAAGGTCTCAAACTTTTGGTGGAGCTAACCCGCCATCTAAGTGACAACACAAACCTAGACTCAGACCTTCAGTCTTCAAGGGAGATTGCAGCCCACATACTTAAAGCATTTTGGTAAGATTATATTTGGAGACATTTAAGACGGTCAAGTTAATATTTCAAGTTAATTTCTCTACTTGTGTTAAGGTACTTCGGTTGAGTTGCTGATTGGGACTCAGATTTTTTCTTTATCCAGTACTGACGAATGCGACCTGTTTCATTCCTCTTTCCCTGGCTGAGATGATCCTCGAAACTAAAAATAGTTTCTGTGGAATCTAGTTCAGTGTTTCACCCGTGTTGCATTTATTATACGATGAGAGAGTTTAAGTATACGGCTTCAGCCTCTTCCTTTAAGGAACCGGTATTATCTTTTTGCCTTAGATGTTAGTAAGGCTTTTACAGGCTGCTTCAGCGTAATATACATTTATAGACAAAGGCGAGAGGCTTTTAATAGCTAGTGCTCCAGGTTTGCAAAGAATGCGTAATGTGAAAAGGGCATGCTGACTATCAAACACCTTGGATTTTACTATTTTACAGGACTTTAAAGGATACGCAATACAGTCCGATTGTAAGGTTACACATGGCAAAATGCATGGAAACGTTTTTGAAGGTAATTGGTTTATTACGCCATCTTAAGCAAAGGATAGCACAGTGGTGTGAGCGTTCGCCTCCCACCGATTTGACCCGGGCTCAAATTCCGGCGTCGGGTAGACGAAGATGTGCTACCTCCAAATCGTTATAGCGGAGCTCTCGCGCAGCGGAGCACCATGAGTAAGAAAATATGGTAATCTATTCTTCCAAGAAATTTTGGTTCTGAGAAAATCGTTCATACGGAATACGTCGGTACGTACGTCCACCCCTTCATGTTAGCGGATGCGAAATGGCACACTTTAATACTATCTGTGTAAAACTTGGTATTGGACATCCAAGTTGTGATCAATTGACAGCTGTCAAAAAAGAGTAACCTCTGACCAATGTCACACGACTGCTTCGCGGGCTCAGGTATACAACTCATGGAAGTGATGTAATTTTTAAAGTTATCCCCTGACCAGTTGTTCGTTTTTAATTAATCGCGGGCGAAGGTCAATTTTTTTAAAGGTAAAATTCAGTTTGCTCTCTGCTCACGGCCAAAGTATAATTAATTGAGGAAGACATTCCCTAAAGCATCCTTCGAGAGCTTCGCTTTTGGCCTTGGCTAAATCTATATATAATATTTATTTATTTGTTTTTTCATTAAGTTGATTTAGGCTCATTCCCTTGTGGTGTAACGCAACCCCCTTTTTTTTCAGTTGGATCCTGAGGAGAATTGGTGTGGCATGAAGCAAGTAAAGAAAGATCGGGATGGAGGTAAGGCTTCTCTGTTACGTGTGTTACAGAATGATTTCGTATTAAGTCAGCATTACTTTACAAAGCGGAAAACACAGATAATCAACGCAGTAACTTTAGTGTGTACGTGTATACCTTGCCATAACTGTCCTTACATTTGGCAAATGTGTCCGTGGGCTGAGCAGCGTTTTGTGGTATCTTGGTTATTGGTAATTCGTAAGGCAGGTGATGAAGTTGGCTGATAATGTGAAAGCAAGCTAGTTGACTGTGATGACTGATCTATGAACGTGATATTATTTTGTGGGTGAATAAAGGTCTGTCTTTTGGGGACTCCTTTTTTCCTGACACGAGACTTTTCGGTTTGGCTTTTTTCGCTATAAGATCTCAAACGTGACTTAAAATGGGCTGAACGTCACAGTATGTCTCTACTTACCGGTTTTATGGTTCCTATTTTTACTCTCTCTGCAGCTGTGAAGGAATCTTCGTCTCTCTCCCTGAGCGAGGAATTCCCCAAGCTTCTTGGTGACTCCAGCCACCTGTTAAGAACATACATGGCTTCTGCCATTAAAGTGCTCTTTGTGAGACATGTCACAAACGCTTCTGCTGTTCCTGCTCCTCGTGACCATCAGTACGAAATGTTTGAGCGTGTGGCACAAATCCTGGTTCAGTCATTAACTGAAACAGTGGCCGTGAGTAAATGTTATTGGTCATTTTGGGGTTGAGCGTGAACCTGGGTCGGTGTTGTGTCGAATTGCACCATGGGACTGTTCTGGGGATGCTCTCGCTTCTTCCATTTTAGAGCTTTAGATTCTGAGACGAAGACTACTACGAGTGCGAAATTTTCCCAATACTGAGTAATGCTCACGCGTGAGCCAGCGTCGTTTTGGCGGGAAAACGTGATAGCCGTCGTGATTCTACTACGAGTTTCAGCGAGAATGTCGTAGTGGCGGGAACAAGTTATCAAATGTAAGAGGTTTTATCATTTTGCTACCGGGAGAGGGCTTAACCTCCTTCAGTGTAAATAATCGTACTAACTTTTTTTGGCGAAAAAGAGTGAAATGAGCTTTCCGGGGTGTCTTTTTTTGAAAACACGCGTTAAAAAAACTTTAAGTTAAATCTGGCACTCGTTCTCGTTCTCAAATCTAAAGGTCTCTATTGGCTATTAGGAGGTTGCACAAGAAAATAAGTCAAATTTCCTTTCATAAAAAGCCCCATGGTGAAAATCAACGCCACACCGACCCAGTCTCGAGCAGGTCCTTAAAATAATTAATAAATATGAAATAAATAATTAATTAACGATTTTTAAAGGTGGCACATCCACATATTTTGTTGAAATTGTAGCTCAATAGACAAGTGTGAGTTATTTTGAATGTATTATTTTCTGTTTGTTCTACTGTTTCGGTCTCCTGTGCAGCATGTAGTGCTTGTTAATGACTTCTAATGCTGTTCGATATGTGCATAACGCAAATATGCAATAAAGATAATTGTAAGCAAGCGAATATTAACGTTAAAAGCCGACGTTTCGGTATCATCATGACACCATTCTCAAGGCAAAATGAATAAATAATGCGAAGATTTGATTTTGATTTGTTTTTTTGTGATTTTTTTGCCTTGAGAATGGTGTCATGATGAAACGTCGGCTTTTAACGTTAATATTCGCTTGCTTATGTTTTAAGAAATCGTTTTTGATAAAGATAATTGCTGCTCGAAAACCAAGAGAGGTTCCATCGTTAACTGGTGTTATTCAGAGGGTGTGGAATAAAATTTTTAACTTTTTTATTTGATAAAGGAAACTTTGAGTGAAGAGGAAAGAGAAGATGAAGGTGTTAACAGATCTAGCTCTATGCTTGCATGCCTCAAGCAAATTGCACTCATCAGTCCTATCTGTGAAAAGAGGGCTATTGCTCTGCTCTTCCAAGCAGTCAAGGAACAGTTTTTGAACAAGGATTTGGTCAAAAAGGTAAAGAGTAGAAATCAATTCAAATGCTATCTTTTCTTACGTTATTGTGGTGTTCAAGACTTTAAGCAGTACCTCCCAAATTGTTTCTAAAAGAGAGATCGAACCCACGAAGGTCCTGCGAAAGACACCGTAACAACTCTGAAAACTCGAAAACAAAAACTCCTTGGTAATTTGGTGAATTCTTTACTCTTGAGATTGGGATGTCAACAGGATGCGATCCCTAAATTCCAGAGGGAAGTGGTTCATATGTTGTGAAAATGCAGCTTCTTCAATCACTGGGATAAAATTGAAATCTCTTTAGGACTTAAAACGTCGGCGGATGATCCTATATCCAGGCTTAGTGTTAGGTTGGTGTTGAATGGACAAAAAGTGAATACAAATTCATATTAGTAAAGGAATGCACAATGTGACCCCGAGATTAAGCGTGTTGAACGTAAGTGAACCTCACCCAGCACTGCACTCATTTTGCCATGTCTTGCTTATCTTGTTTTGCACTGCAGTGCGCGGGATTTTCGTGGAGCTTTTAATTAATGGGGCGATAAATAATTTTTTCCCATTTAGCTTGGCCACTGTTGGAAAAGGTAGATTTTATTTCTTTAAAACTATTGTTAGGTTCTGGCTCAGCTGGCTTGTGAGCTGGGTTACACATCAAGAGCTGCATATGTCAAGAACCATCTAGAATTTATCATTGATGACTGGCTAAAACATGACTTTAAGATCACTGACTTTCCCTGTGAGATGCTAGACTTCAAAAGAGTTGCTGATTTTTTCCAGTAAGTGTAATAAATTACTTGAACTTCCGTTGGGGTAGCTGGTACTTAAACCTTTTCACTTCCAGATTTGATTGATGAGCCGTGAAAAGTGGTTCTAACTTTTGTGTCTTTCGACAAAATCGTATGGTGTGACCATTTAAATGAAATCTGTTCAGTAGTTTCTTCCCATGGTGCTAATGGTGCTATTTATTTAGTATGTTGTTCTTACTTGGGTGAGTCTGTGGATACAATCCTATTGTGTGGCCATTCAAATGAAACCTTTTCAGTAGTACTTTCACATCGTACTATTTATATAGTGCATGTATATAGTTCTAACTTTTAAGTCTGTCAACGAAATCGCATGGTATGACCATTCAAACGAAACCTCTTCAGCAGTAGTTTTGTATGGTCTATTGCTATTTGTTTTTCATTATTTTACAAAATGAAATTTGGAAATTTTGTTTAATTTTGACTTAAGCGACTTTTGGGAGTTAAAGGGGCAAGGAACTAGACCTTATTCACGATACCCGCCATCACTGCACGCGCTAAAGGACTGATGGGGTAAAAGCAATGTCACATGTCACAATAAATCGCAGACGTGTTTTTTTATTCTAGATAACAGAAAATGAACAACTTTTTATCTTGAAAACGATAATGGCAAACTGTAGGTGTAAGTGATCATTGTTACTGTTTTGGATGCAGTAGTAGACTGCGAGCAGTGTCTTACTTTTCTTTGTAAAGTTACTGCACGCGAAACCTAAATACGCGAGCGACGAAGCCGCTTGCCCCGAGAAACGAGGGCGTAAGCCCGAGAAGAAAAAATAGTTTCTCGTCTCGTCTCGATCCCTATATAATAACATTGTGGTTTGCAATCCCGCTGGATGAGATAAGAACTAGAAAAAGGCGGACTGCAAGCAGTCTAATGAAGTAGCGACCGTACATGTTCTCACAGCAAGCAATATTGACATGAAACTTGAGGAAATTCGACCCGGACAATTTGCTTGACTGTCAAATCGTCGTCTCGTTTTGAGAGAATAAACAAACTCGACAATTACTACTTGTATTGGCTAATTTTATCACTTGTTTCCCCCCTGAAATACCACGTGACATTGCTTTTATCCCATCCATCCTAAAGCGCGTGCAAAGATGACGAGTATCGTGAATAAGGTCTATTGGCTTTTGAAACAGGCTTATTTCAATGTCCGTTCGTTGTATATTCAAGGTATCATCATTCATCCATTCTGCCCAGTCTCATATCAAGACCAGAGACTGCTCAGCAATCAGTTGCACTGTTTACCGAACAGCTTGTCCCAAGCGGCGACTGCAGGGAGTTTGTAAGAGAAAGCTTCTGCCATATCACCGCTTATTATTTGCCGTGGTTTGCCCAACAAAGCAGAATAGATGCGATGAAGTCAAGTGAGCAGGCAAAAATTGCACAAGCCAGAAAGAGCTACGATTTTCTTGTTAGCATTCTTACCGAGGAGGTCAGTTTGGTCTGGTACATTTTTAGAAAAGGTCAGATCTTTTCTTTTCACAGTTTTGTATGATTTTATTGATCCCTTTTACTATTGGATGCTCACATATTACGTGTAACAGACGACTAGAAGTCAAAATGTTTTACAGTTGCGCTATAATTGAAAGTGCATTTGGACAAATGACGTTGTGTCATGCTTAAACCATAGTCCATCAACAGACAGATGAGCTCAATAAAATCATATGGGCTTGTATTAGAGAATGGTAAAAAAATAAATACTGATGAAAGTATAGAAAATACACTTGAAGTTTTGTTCTTTGAAGAACAAAAACTTAATTTTATTTTTTATATTTTCAAGGTTTTCAAGATTTTAAAAACCTCATAAAACCCGGCCACATTTTAACTCCAATTCTTTACTAGTGGGGAATCAAAAATTGAGCGATTGGCAGAGGAATAAACTGCTATATAGGCAAATTTTAAGCCTTTCAATATGCTCTCAGTTCTTGTTTTATGAGGTCAAAAACTCTCCGCCTCATAAGCACATTTGAGCAACACTGCAGTTTATTTTGCAGGCTGTAGACAAGTTATTTGCAAAGAAGTTTGACGAGCAGATAGTATCTCTTCTTCTACGGATGTATGAACCAACTTCAGAAGGCTCGGACCTTTCCCAGTTTACCAAGTTAGTATCTCTTTTAAACTTAAAGCAGGCAAGCAGTTGATTATGTGCACGTAGTCCACGGTGAAGTGTGGGAGTCTTGCCTTTTGACCAACGTTGATCACGGGAGTGGATTTCTAGACAATTGACCCAGAGGAGGAGTTTTTTTTGCGCTTCACGTTAACAGCACTACCCAAACATTACATTGTGTATGCAAAATGCCAGAGAACATGCTGATTAAATGAATGTATGAAGTTTAAACTAGGCTACTCCTCAAGAAAGGCTTTTCGTTGTATAACGTTTTCTACTGTTTACTCTTTACAACTTTTAAATGTTATGGTAGCTAGAAATCTTTCCTCGTTTAGTGGTCCATCTCAAACACACTTTCGCATCAGGGGATATTCTTACCTTAGGCAGTCTGGCTATAGTTCCTCAACTAGTGTTTTAAATTTTAGTTAAGTCCAACGAGTGGTCTATTATCAATGGTGCATTCTGATTGGTTGAGCGGCTACTAGGCTCTATGTTATAGCCCACTAGTAGCGAAAAACGCCGTATTTTTGGCGGCAAAAAGGGATTAAAGTCTTGCTTTAACTAGCTAAAGTTGTTTTGTCTCGATATTTTTGACCAAATAGTTGGATTTTACTAAAACAATTATTACTCACGCCCTCATGGCCCATCCGGCCCATTCGGGCTCGAGGAATAATTGTTAAATATTTCAAAAGCCCTGAAGGGAATGGATAATATGATATTTATAATTACAATTGCAAACTCTCCTGATAGAGAAACCGACCCAGAGCCTGATCCTCCCTTTTTCACGTCACATGCTATCAAGGCTACATTTGATTACCTTACAAGCTGTCATCCTGGAGCCAAGTCCATCGTCTCGATACTTTGCACTTCAAAGGTATTTGTATTCATTTTATTTTCTCTGCTCGAGACAATGCAGTCATTGTAGCGATTTACTTCAGATAAAGCTGGTTGAAATTGATAGGTAAATCAAAAGCTCTCGACCTGACACTTAAACTTGTTAATGTGTAAAAATTTGTATTAACTGCAATTTTTTCTTTGATGAGCTTTGCAAAAGCCGTAAGGCAACACATTTTCTTTTCTGTTTTCACGTTAACTCTTTAACTGCCAGAAGTGATAGTTATGTAACTTCTCCTTAGAATATTCAATACATTGTCCAACAGATAAATGGTGAGAATAGAGAAATTTATTAGCCAGAGAATATTTATATTTATATAACCCCAAACTCTTCTATTAGATATTCAATAAAATCTATAGCAACCTCTCTTTTTCCTCAGGACAGCATTCAGAAAATTTTATTAGCGCTTACATCTCGCATTGCTGGGTCCCACCTTATCCACGAAAAGAGAAGAATTTTAACAATGTATCGACTTTTCGTGTTGCTTCTTCTGAAAGACTTAGCCCAAGGGTTAGGGAAGAACTGGGCTTTTTTCATTCGAGATGTTATCCATTCTTTGCTGAGAATTATCAACGAGGAGAAAGAACTTGAAAAACGTCCGAGGCAACACACTCAGGAAATTCAACTTGTCGTTGATAGTGACTTGGTCCTACCATGTTGCAATCTTCTTTACTATGTCTGTAAAGCCGCCGTGGAATGTTGTAGCCAGGTAAGATGAACGCTCGTTCTTTTCAATATTTTTCACACTACTCAAGAACACAAACCAGGCTTAAAAAAGCTGTGTCACGGCAGTCCAGTTCATTTTGTTTAATTTTGCCAATTACTCGCCCTCAATCGCTACGGAACTTAAAGCAAGCAAAGTAAATACATGTAAATGACAAAATCAGAGATCCGAGACAAACAAATATGTCTCCTGAGCATTATTTTTGAAGTTGCAAGCAGCAGGGATCAACTTTGAAAAACTGTTAGGCTGAACAGTTTTCAAAAACCCTAATTTCAATCCATTTCAATCTTCTTCAGTTTTGCCCACCGTGGCAACTGTTGTTTCTGTCATGTTAATTTAACCTTCCTTTAAAGTTTTAAACGGTTATTTTTATGTTTCTCTTAATTAAACGGGCATTTTGTAATTTCCTAATTTAGCTGAATTTCGTGACACAGCTCCTTTAAATCATGTTTCAGTAGGGTTGTGGACCAACTTAAACGCGCACTTTCCATTCAGCCCAAAATTCTGGAAATTTCATTTAGAAGTCAGATGGAACTGACCATTTGTGTTCGGGCCGACCGTAATATTTGGGACCACCCTTACAGGAGCTCACTTCGACTGGTCCTACCGGTCGGACCGAAATGTCCCTTTTCCCTTTCCTTTCCAAAATGTTTTCCCAGTACCGGTCTTCTGTATCCTGTTTACAGGTTCTAGAACCAAACGCGCAGTGGCTTTGGTACACTGGGCACGTGGAATCTTCTTCATGTTTGTCCATCCGTGCCTCTCTTTGTATTGTTTGGTTACTGATACCTTGTTTTAACGTTTTGATTTGGTGGCAGTTCCGACGGTTTATTTTATTTTTAATTTCGTTACAAAGCTCCTTTAACCCTTGTTTTTACCATGGGATCCGGGGATCTCTCATGGTACGTTCACCTTTACATAATATGACTTAGTAAATCGATCATTGGTTATCTGCAAGAAACTATTTTCTCTAATGTAGGAGTTAAGCGGTCATCTTCATGTTATCGTAAGCACCTTAACTCCATATGCCTTGGGTGAAGGAAAGAGAGGACAGCAGGTAATTTGCACATATTAACTTGAATGTTGAGCCTCCGCCAGGTCTTATTTTACAAAACAAATCACTCAGATACCAGAGTGAGCAGAGTACAGAGTGACACCCACCTTCGTGGCTGTCATATTCGATCAGCATGTAGTTGGTGCAACTAAAAAAAAAGTGCCGTCCGGTAGTCCGGGACAAAATTTTGTTTTTTGCTGGGCAAGCAACAGGTTTAAAGCTCACTTGCCCAGACCACCGCGGTCAAACGTCTAAATCGTTATTTTTGTTTTTTATTTCTGGGATTTCATTTACCAGTTAGAGAAAAATGGGCAAAGATGTATGAATCAGTTAGTTAACATAACTATCTTTCCATTTTTCTCAAAATTTTGAGCTTTTTTCGCTGAAAACGCTTCGCGCTAAAAGAGAATCATGTTTGAAAATGGCGCTGATAATAGTAAACTATTAGTAAACTAATAGGTGTTGGTAATACCCTAAACTTTCGATAGTGAAAGTAGCAACCTTAACTTTGAAGTATTTCGCTTAACTTTTGCAAATTTCACTCGTTTGACCGCTGTGAACTTGCCCAGTGGGTAACGGTCGAGGCAACTCATCTTCTAACAAAATCATTACGTGGAACAAGCAAGAAGTGGCCCCGGGCAGGCAAAATATGAGAGTTGCTTGCTCAAAGGACAAGCTGGAATTCAATGTTTTTTCGAGCCCTTGGAAAGACAATGTGTATAGCAGTCTAACCGTCCCTCAGAAATGTAGGCGTTTGGGTGTAGGTACCTTTTTTGATCAGTATCCTCTTAGGTGATCTAACGCATGTTGTCATTATGCTGTCAAACGATGTCCAAATAGAATTGATTAACATCGAGGTTAGTGACTGCAAGAGCAAGCTTGAGGTGTGACTCATTGCTATGTTCATTTTCATGCAGGCTTTTCAATTGCTGAACTTCTTGATATTGGACTCAAGCAAAGACTTACGTGACACTATTAGGTGTCTTGATCCATTTCCAGATACTATGCAGTTCAAACAAATCAATAAGAGCCATAAGCAGTTAAAGGAGGATCGAACTTCATTACTTGAGGTAAAAGCTTTCAAGTTATCTAGAGACAAGGCAAAACGCATATTCGTCCTTGTGGCTTAATTACTTGTCTTTACCCATTATCGTCATCGTCATCATCATCAACGTCATATGCATCGTCATTACCGCTAGCCTGAGTAATATCATTGAACTAATGTCGTCACTCTGAGCATCCTTACAAACTTTGACATCGCACCGTTATTGATGTTTCATCATTGTTTCAAACAATTACGAATGTTGAATAGTGAAACTTTGTTCATATGTTCATGTTTTCTTTTATTTGATTATTGTCCAATAAAATAGGGAGGATGAGCAAGTTCGTGTTTTACCTAGGTGCCTCAAATATCCTCTATAGACCTATCATTTGCCGTCTTTATGCAAGTTTCAAGTGGGTTCTCAGAATGCCTATAAATCTACCTTGTTAATGCTCACTTTCCTCTCCTTCGGATACTTGAGGCAACCCTATCCTATGTTATGATTTATTGATTGATTTTCCTTGAATTTGTTATCTCTTCGTTATCAGGAAATTACCCACTTTCTGTCCGCGGATTCAAACTTGTCTCCTGAGACTAGACTGGAGGGCTTGAGGCTGGTAAAAACGTCAATAATTAAAAACAAGCACCAGCTGGTGGATCTTGTTGAGAGGACGGAAGGTGATGAAGTTTTACTATTTTACTAAGACGAACCAAAGAGTACCGTAACTGTATTCACTTTAGGTTTGTTCGTAGCAATCAGTTACGCGACTACATATAGCCAAGATAAAGGGCCCGTTGCTTACAATAAAAGGTATTTGTCATATTCACATCTAATCTGTAGATGAACGGTCACGCTTGGGTATTCCCTGCACAAACGGGAAAGTAGCTACCTGTTTAAAAAACAAAAAATCAAATAAATAACGATTAGAGCCCGTTAGAGGTAGCACATCCACAGAGTGGTTCTTCCTTTACCATTTCTTGTCAAATTGGAATTTGGAAATGTTGGTTTTTGAGGGGAGGGGAGGGGAGAAACCTCTCGGAGTAAATAGAGAACCCAGGTCGCATGGGTGGAAGGCGAGTTCTCTCACCACTGCGCCACCCTTGCTCTCCAAAATGACACATCAACAACAAAACAACAACAAAGTTTATTAGGAACACTTCAATAATATACTAGAGTTCAATGTTTAATGTTCCCCCGGAAACAGAAAATCTAAGGCGAAAAAAGAGAAAGAAATATTTATGCTATAAGAAACGAAACAAACAAACAAACAAACAAAAAAACAAAACGCGAAAGAGACGTTTCCTATGTTTTTATTTTTCTTGTTGTTTTACTACTCTCTAGTCGCAAGCAGCAAGCCGCCATCCAGTACTGTTGCTGACCTTGTTCACGGACTCATCAAGCTTGGTTCTGATTTAAAGTCGTGTCAAGAAGACCAGGCTAAGGCTGTGCAGTATGAAGTGGCAACCTGCCTGGGTGAAATTGGAGCTGTTGACTTATCAACTGTTTCACTTAGGCGTAAAGATGCAGAAACAGGTAATTAAGAGTGCATTTTGTCGCGTCCTTTAATAATGTCCTTATACCAGTATAGGGTACGCTTTCCAATCTTCGTACGCGTGGAAACGCCAGAAAATCTCGTGGGAAGCTCAAATGGCCTTCTTTTTTTCTGTTTGATATGCATGCAGTTGACAAAGTTAAGTTTAATTGATATTTCTCTACGTGAAGGCCAATTATTTGGTCGATAGATTTGCAGGGAAAACCATACATTCGAAAGTGGGATCTTTTCTTGTGTTAACACTTTAAATCAGGACATCCTTACAGGGAAAGTAAGCCAGGGTACTCTTGTGAATATTGACAATTTCCTCTTTCTGATATTTAGTCACATTACCAATGCTCCATTGAATAAAAAGTTTGTTTCTGCAAAGCCTGAAAAGAGGTGTAAAGCGCTGTTCCGCGGACGAAGCCATTTTACTCTGGATAAGTGTTTACTAGACCATTGCCTCAACTTCTGATTGGTTCGTTGGGTTGTCCATGTCTGTTGCCATTGGCTACAGAAGCATTCTCGATGGGGTCATTTGACCACAAATACAAGAGGCCATTTTTTTTTCTTTCATATTTGAATTTAGCAATCTACTGAGGTTTCAAAACCAAAAGCCGTAATTGCTTAAGAAAATACGATTCTGAACGATTCTGGTACATTAAGTAAAACGACGCCATCTAGCAAAATACCTGTTACTTAAGTTGTAGGTAAATAACACTAATTACAAAAACCACTGCAGTCAAAGGTTTTATCGTTTTTTTTTCTTTTCAGACTCCTTAGCTGGCAATTCTATAAGTCAAAGAAATTCTACTATTGTGTGTCTTTTAAATTCGTATCTTGTAGACAAAAGGTAAGGCATTTGTTTTATTCCGATATTGATATTTTCATTTAGTAAAATCCAAATAGTGGTCTATTATCAATGCGGCGTTCTGATTGGCTGAGCTACTACCAGGCTATATGTTATAGCCCACTAGTAGGGAAAAGCGCGGGCTTTTTGGCGGCAAAAAAGGATTAAAGTCTAGCTTTAAATAGCTAAAAGTTTTTTATTCTCGATATTTTTGACCAACTAGTTGATTTTACTAAAACAATTACTCCTCTCGCCCTCATGGCCTCTGAGTCAATATCCCATTCGGTCTTCGGCTTCATGGGCTATTGACTCAGAGCCCATTCGGGCTTGAGGAGTAATTGTTAATTAGTTGCTACATACTCGATGCTTTATACTTTGTTCCTTTTTTTTGAATATGTTTTCTCGAATGGTGTAATGAATTGTTTCTTATCAGGTTATGTTCACACTATACCGGATAGCTCTAACGCCGGCACGAAACCCATTTACCGGATAGGCTTCTGTTCACACACATGAAACGTGTTTTGGCGCCATTTCTGTAACGGAGCGAAGCTACGCCGCTCCGATCTCGAAAGTAGAACGTCACATAGCGAAAAGGTTCTGTGCCACGGAACAGTTATTCGGCCATAGCGTAAGGGAATAAAAAGGAGCGAGGACTGGAACCTGCTGAGACGAAAGTTGATATTTAGGAGTAAGGACTGGGATTTAGTTCACCAAACCCTCTCGGCCAACCGCTCCGGCACGATATTGACCATTCCAAAAAATACCGTAACATACCATAATGCCCTTTGTTGTGAACCCAAAATTTTGCATAAGCATTGTTTTCAGTTTCTCTTGGGGCCATTTTAACTCCCAAGAGGAACTGAAGACAATGCTTATGCAAAATTTTGGGTTCACAAACAACGAGCATTATGGTATGTTATGGTATTTTCCGGAGTGGTCAATTCGATATGTGTGAACGACTTGTTCCAGTACGGTGCCGTTGCTGTTCATACTATACCGGATGGCTTTTCATGTCGGCACGAAAACGTATTCCTTTTTCAACGTCAGAAGAATGGAAGTTAAACTATTACTAATCTGTATTCGCTTGGGAGAAACTTTCCCGTGGGCATTTTACTGGTGGAACTGTCTGACTGGAGTGAGTTACATTGATTTCGGCCGTTTTCAACCTAGAGACAGGTGGTACAATCCCTGCTATATTGCACCGAAAAGAATCGCCAGCAGCCTGTTAATGTTGGCTGTCAATTTTGCCTTAGGGGCGGGGGAGGGGGGTGGGTAGGTGGGCAGTTTGCCAGAAACCTAACTTGATAACCCAAAAGATTACTCTTAACAAGGCTTTTATTATGGTCACAGTGTTCAAGTTGTAACCGCTGCTGCTTCATGCTTAAAGCAAATTCTTGCAACGGAATCAGGATTTCAGCTTCTAAAGAGATTTGATGAGTTGAAACAAGAACAGCTCTTGTGGTACCTTGAGCCTTTCAAATCGACCAAGAAAAGACGGGCAAGTTTATAATAAAAAGATAAAGTAGTCAGATTGAAACTAAAACTTGTAAATGACTTGTATATCTGACATATGTAGTGCACGCGTCTCTTCCATCTGTGGAGACCGTTCCTGTATTTCGCTCCAGTGAGCAAACACAAAGAATTCTTGGTTTGCAACCACGTGACAAGGCGGCCATGTTGGGGGTCAATACAAAAGAATTTTTTCTCGAAGAATTTACATGAAAAAAGAGTTTAGAATTTCTTTTGTTCTTGACCAATAACATGGCCGCCGTGACGTCACTTGCAAACGAGCAGTTGAGGTCAAGGCTTGGGTGGACAATAAAGAGCTTTAGAGTGAGGGACGAGGACGAGGACGACATTTAATTTTCGGTTTTCTCGCCTATTCTCTTTTAATAAACACTCCGGAGAGCTTCATTGTATTTTTTTTTTGTTTCACCACAAAAGTTAGTTCGCTTGTTTCCGTTGAAGAAGGTGAAGCCCTCTCTCGACCGCTAAAAGGATAAAATTCCTCACATTTGATAACTTGTTCCTGCCACTACGACATTCTCGCTAATACTCGTAGTAGAATGACGATGGCTATCATATTTTCCCGCCAAAATGACGTTTGTTCGCGCGCGCACACTACTTAGTATTGAGAAAATCTCGTTCTCGTTGTTGGGTATTTAATTTTGAGGGCGTAGGGACGTTTGAATGACGCGAGTGAATCTAAATGAAACCACCGCAATATGTGTAGATGTTGTACTTAATTTTTCATCGTAGGTAATTTTTATTTTCCTTTGTTTCAACTTTATTAGCATACATTATCATACCCAAAATCAAAAGGAAAACAAAAATTACCTGGAATAAAAACTTAACTACAACATATACACTTGTCGCAACGTACCATGCAGCACCTACCCAAAAGGTTGTAAAAACCATGATAAATACTTTTTTCCTGTTCCTGTTCAGACATCCGGTGGCGCGTCTGCTGTGGAAGTAATATCTGATGTTAAGCTAGATGACGCAAATTTATGGATACCGGGCCTCGATGGCCAAGAATACAGTCACGAACAGTGGATAACCAAACTGGCCTGTACTTTGATCGAAAGTGGACTTGTCAAAGACGAAGTGCTGTTTGTTTTGTCTCCTATTTGCAGAACAAAGGTATTCCGATTTTCTTATTGTGAAATTTACAGCATTAAGAATATTTCCTAGCTTGTGTAGGAAACGTTAGATTCCGAGTTCCAAAAACCCCCACTTTCAAAATGAGTTTAGGTGCACAACCTTTCTTGTGAAAATGAGTTTTATTTGCATGGGAATGAAAAATGATTTTCATATCAAAGGCTGAGCACCTACCGTCGTTTTGAAACAGAGGCCCTGGGGAACTCGGAAATGGCCTATTGAATTGAATTGAATTGAGTTAATATTCAAACTTCGTACTCTGTAAGTATATGTGCGTGTTGATTGGCTAATAAGAGTGTGTCACTGGTGTATAGCGCACAATGTCCACGCTTTAGTGACTTCTTATCCCCTTAGTGACCGTTTAATGAAGTTTATAATTTATAACTTCACATAACTTTTGATTTATCATTTTTGCTGAAAAGCTGTATTTCGATTTCTTTTTCTCGCTATTTTGACACGAACTGTGTTTTGAACCTTTTTGCTGCTGCTTCCGACGCCTTTACAAGTCTTTCTAAAACCCTGCAAAGCTAGAGAAAATGCCTGAAGATTTCACACGCTCTGGGAGGACAAATTACCAAGAATGCACAAAATACCTCTCAATGAATGTTAATTGCATTTCGACAAAAATCTGCAAGAAAAAACGTCCGTTCGCATCCTAACACTACCGAGCATCTGGCAAAGGTCTCGAAGAAATTCGACGCATATGAACGGATGTTATGAGCTTAGAAATATTTTGAGTGAATAATAATACAGTCATTGAATTTTGCTTTCGGACGATGTGAAGAATCATGAAGAAGATATCATAGCGTGATATCCGCCTCAGCTGAACTCTCGCCGATCTGTGTGATTCCTCATATCATGCTCAGCCTCATCCAATAATTAATAGGCCATTTGCACTATGACATCATTTTACTACTACGACCAGAATCCAGAAAAACGAAAAGGATTCTGGTCGTAGTAGTAAAATGACGCCATCGTGCAAATGACCTATTGATTAATGGCCGGTGTATTTATTACCAAGATTCCCTGTCAACCCTTTCCTTTATTTATGACCATTTTTGAATACTGTTGTTAGCTTTCATTATTGTTTTATTATTATTTTCTTCAGGTGGAGTTTGCTGAACATGTATTTCCTTACCTCGTACATAACGTCTTGGAATGTGACGATGACGTTGCCAGGACCACTTTATCGGATCAATTCAGAAATTTCTTTAGTCATTGCAATGGCACAAGTGTGATAACCAGTAGCGCTAGCTCGCCTTTCCCGTCTACAGTACCATCATCAAACACTTCTGGGATATTTGGAAGTGAGTGGAATGAATGTCAAATACGTTTGAGGGAGCGGGGTAATAGCAAGGGGGGGGGGGGGGGGGGGGGGGGGGAGAGGCGGGGCATATTTACTTTAGCAAAACTGGTCACCTTACTGCTTTTTCAAAGAACCAGAAGTGCTCTGTATTCATAAAGGACTAATATTAAAGTTGAAGCTCATCACGTCGGGGGTCATGTGGTCCAACATAAGAAACAAATCTGAACTTCCAGCAAAGGTTATGAAAATTAATATAATGATCACCAAAGGATTAAAAACTTAGATATTTGATAGCAAATGTTTGGAGATCTCTGTGGTGGATTTAATTGTGGTTTAAGGGTGAATGGAAAACAGCCTTTTAGCTCCAGCCGTCCCCTCTGCATGAAACGAGTGATGAACAAAAGGAGAGCGATTGCTAGAGATTGTAGCTTTTATACCTTGTTGGTTCTTTCCTTGGACTGTCTGTTCGCCGCTGGAGAATTTTAAATTGAAATTTCTGGAGTAACTTGCAGATTTATTTGCTCAATTGTAGTTTAAGACTAGCTGAATTTTAAACAATTACAGACATTGACGCGACGCAAGTTTATAAAGCGTTTTCACATGGCGTCACGGTGGCCATATTGGTGTCCGAAAAAATTCTGGGAGTTGAAGGTTTTTTCTGGGTAAAAACTTTCTTTTGTTCCAATAACGTTTTGTAGCTACTGGCTACGTCAGTGAAAACGCTCTAAACGCAGTAAAGGGAGTTGTCTGATATACTCTGATTCACCATAACATATGTTCATGTACCGTAACATTTTTGTAAGTCTTTCAGTCTGACAATAGAGGTTTAAGCTTCACATGCACCTCAAACGGCAAACGTCAGATTCAAATTGAGAATTTCTCGAAATAGAGAATGAGCAGATAAAAACAGCTTAAAACAATTCTCATGGATAACAAATTGTGTGAAACTACTAATTTAGGTGTAGAAATAATGAACAGTAAACGACAAGTAAAGGGGAAATTTGCTCACGTGGTACAAATTCGCGTTTGCCGTTTGACATAAACGTTATGCTTAACCTCTCTAATGCCTTCCGTGTCTATCATTTAGTGAAGAAGGAAAGTGTTCGGACGATGCTGGCTGTTGTCACCTATCTGCGCACACAGAATATCCCCAGAAAAGGGCGTGGTCAAGCTACCTTGTGGGACAACAATTTTTGGCTTGACTTGGATTACTTAGAAGTTGCATCAGCGGCCCAGAGATGTTCTGCGTATTTTACCGCCCTTCTTTACACTGAAGTTTGGGCTGACATTGAAAAGTAAGTGTAATGGATATATTTCTGACATCGGCCTCTTTGTAAGACTAGTCTGAGGCAGTTTTGACTCGCAGTATAGATATTATTGTTGTGATGAGACACTATAACGTCTAGGAACTGAACAACAGGGCAAGAATTTTATGTCGATTCTATTTGTACACAAGTGGAATTACAATTTGCAACCCATTTAAATCAAAATTAAAACAAATGCGAATTTTTCTTCTTAAGTTTCTAAAACTAGAGGATAAAGTTTCTTTGAAACTGAATTTCTTCAGTGCCGTTTTGGCGTATTTTGTTCCCTTTTGGTATAAAGTAGCTCACTGTAATTTAACTGATACTTTTCAGATCCAAGGAAGACTCTCCTGTGACCATTTCTTTACCTTCCAATAGTCAAAACTTAGCTATGGAAATTGCTTCAAGCCAGAACAGCGAGGGTAGCCTAAGCACTAGTTACCAGACCCTTATTTTGGAGGCGTATGGTGCTATTGGCGAACCTGACAGTGTATACGGCGCCGGGGCTGGCAGACTGGCTGACATAGACTCACGCATCAGGACCTATATGCATGAACATGCCTGGGATAAAGCTCTTGGTATGGATTTAAATACTCAGTATATGAAGTGCTCTGAGGAAAAATGCCGCGCAAGGCAATGCTTTCAAGGGAATTTGTTTCCTTTATAGAGACGAAATTCACACATTCTAAGGTGGATATCGCGTAATTTTACGTGCGTTCACATGCAAATTTTACTCGTGTAAGTGAAAATTAGACGCAATGTATGGAGGATTGCTCGTAAACGTAGAAGTTGAACCTCGTTCAACTTTAACATTGACGCAAATTTTATTTACGCACATAAATTTTACGCGCGTACGCATGTAAACATTACGCGATACTGGAAATCCACGCTTACACATCTTACTTTCATTTTCGAATTGTTTGTCCATTATCTTAATAATTTTACTTTAGTCATTTCTTAGTGAGAAAAGCCATTGGGATAAAAACAACGTATAAGCAGGTTGAAATGTTTGTCATGTAAAGAGTTTAATTTTATCCACTTCCTCTGAGTGGGTATATATAGTCAGTGGCTTTTTAAACATTTTTTCAGCAATTTTTTTCTTTGGTCCTTTGATTCATTCTTCATTATATTCACTTCTACAAACCAGACTGGATTGGGTTATTCCGTTACTTTCTTATCTAGGAGCGTGTGACCTTCGAATGCAGAATGTCTCCGTTTCATCACAAACAGGTCTTCTGCAGGTAAAGATTTGAGCTACTATATATTTAGACTGACTCTTTGAGGAATTCAGATGTTTTTTGCTCGATTTGCTTGGTAACAATGCAATAACGTTCCTGTCAGTGTAATGAGAATGTAACTCAAATATAATATACTTACCTTCTCATAGAGAAAAAAATAGATGTAAACCTTTTCCCGAAAACAGGCTGGGAGTAATGATAAGATCACTTATGTTATGAAAAGGGTTCAAGAAATCTTAACCTTGTCTTTAGGCCATGAAGAACTTTGGTTTGGACCACGTAATGAGGGTGTATTTAAAAGGGCTGCCATCGGAGGATCCGCAGGCGACAGACGAGGTAAAAATATAATTTTCAGTGTTTCCATAAAACATTGTTTGTAGTTTTATCGATAAGTGAATCGGCGGCTGGAATTCAAACCATGAGATGTATGGCTTTGGTACATGTAAGATCTCACGCTTTGGATGTGTCAGTGTGGAGTACTGATGATACTTGCGATGTACCGTATTTAAAGTTCTTGTTCGTGGTCAGTATTAGGTACATTTACAACTGGTTAACATTTGGGTTACATGTAAATAAGGTACTTCTTAGAAGAAATCGAGAAATACTCAACGCTTTGTTGAAGGGTTATAAATTAGCTGCGTTGGTACACTCCAATTGAAACGTATGAGAAAATGGTGAAACCTACTACTGGAGGATCTTCAAACACTTCTTTAGAAATAAATCCTTCACTTTACATTCTATACATTCTTTCAACATCTAAAAGAAAAGGAGAAGTGCATGTAGCTCTCTTACAGTGATACAAACTTGTTTTTGTCATGGTAGGTTGCAGAGCTGCAGTATGAATCAGCTTGGCAGAATTGCGTGTGGGATTTGGACACCAGGTTAGAACATTCCTGATTTTCTCTCTGTTTGTTTGTTTCTTTGTTTGTTTTGTCGAAGAAAAAAAAAACAGAGTTGTTTACACATTCTCCCTGCTAGGTTTTTCGCTGTCTTCGTTATATAGGTGAAATGTTTCCCCAACAACGCGCACATTCATTGGTTACTTCGGGGTTCCATGAAATCTAGAAAAAAGACGTTTTCCCTGTGAACCTGCTCCGTTCTAAAGCGTAATAAAAAAGCACCGATCAACATGACTGGCGAGTGAAGTTTTTGGCCGGTCAAGGCGCAATTCTGGTCGAACATTTTCCGTTGACCGGCCGTTATTTTGAGCCGAAAGTTCCTAGTCGAATTGCTCTGGAAAAATAGGATGGTAATTTACTCACTACCTTGCGGCGTCGAACGAGACAGCCCAAAAAGGTTTCACAGTCTTTTCCAAACACATACACAAAAACCATCACTTGTGGTATGCTTATTCCTACAGCACTTCATTGTTAGATCTTTTCTCGCCGTCAACACAGTTTACTTTTTTTTCACAGGATTGGTTCAGACGAGCCTCAAGGGTTTCATCAGGCTTTGTATGGTTCTCTGTGTGCCTTGCAAGAGGAGGAATGGGAACTGTTTCAGTATAGGGTAGACAATTCAAAGTAAGGAAATAATGAAGAGTGTGGAGTGTCGTCATTATGGGTTTCAAAGTCAAATACCGGCATACATAAGCCTAACCGTGCTGTTAGCAATTAAGTAACGAGTATACCTTATGAGCCACTTTTGAAGACAAATGCGAAAGAAACCAATTGTCTAAGACACGATCCTACAATGTTCCAGTTATGCACCAACAAGTCCTGGATATTGATAGTTTTTTTTCTCTAGTCTCTCTATCCGTTGAGATATGATTTTTTTCTCCGGGTTCACAATGTGGTTTACACTTCGTAAACAAAAAAAAAGTACAGTATTGCTCGATGCAAATGCGCCCAGAAAAAAAAAGCGTGATCAAGAAAATAAGCGGAAGTTAATCGAAATGGACGCGCCAAGCGAATATCACAGCTGTTATCAAACTTTGATCATCATCATCAGACAGTGTTGACCGCTACCGCCTACGTGAGTGAAACTCGAGTAACTGCCGCTTTCTTTTTATCTCACAATTTGTGATTACAGTTTGCATTTGTTTAGCTATTATTCTGTTACGATATGTATGCTTTTTCGCATCTACATGTAGTATGCGATCTAACTGATTTGCTGTTTCTGTGTTCAAATTTAAAAGTATTCTCTTCTAAACATGAAATTAAGTGTAAATGAAAATTTAGATTGCAGATAATGGACGAAGTAGCGCACGTTAGCTTAGAGAGCGTACGCAGCGTGTATCCTGCCTTGACACGGCTGCAGTGTGTTGTGGAACTAGAGAGTTTTGGCTTTGCCATTAACGGGTAGGTCGCAATTAACTTCCAACATTCTCTCGTCTCCGTGGAGGCTCCCGCTAGGTATTGCAATAAAAATGGCAATGATGTAAGTGCGCGGTGGACCATGGGAAGAGAGAATAAAACGCGGTTCTTTTCCTCTCCTCAGCCTCCTTACGATACAAAGAGGCCTCTACAGAGGATAGAGATACAAAAAGATGGCATAAACATTCCTCACGTGGCGAAATTTCTACACTTGTTGATTTTTGCGTCGAACGTGGATTTTGCGGGAATCGCTTATCTCGGTTGAGAGTGTAGGGTTCCCTGGTGTAATGGCATAGCTGTTTACCTGTCGTACGATCGATCAAGTTTTCGCTACGCCAAGGAAATCTTTCTTGGCTTTCTCCCTCTTTATGTATAATTGTTGGATCGTTTCCTCGAGCCCCGCAAGGTTTTGCGACACTTGCAGGGCTCGAAAAAAGGCCCGTACGGTAGTCCGGGACAAGTGGATTCTCTTACTGGGCAAGCAACAGTTTTAAAGCTGACTTGCCGAATGGGGAAGGGGTCCAAACCGCTTATCATCTAATGAAATCATTAACTAAGACGAGCAAAAAGTGGCCCTTGGCAATCGAAATGTGAGAGCGGATTGCCCTAAGGACAAGCTGGAATTCAAACTTTTAACGAGCCCTGACTTGCACTTGTAGTTATAAAGTGCAGTGCTAACTTTGGCCCGTGGAGAGAAAATCCTGTTGAAGCCTCTCTGGAAGCACTGTTGCATAGTACCGTTACTTAACCCATTTTGCACCAAGTGGAGCTTAGGTCTTCGTTGACTTTTATTAATGGCTAACATCAACAGAATGTTCCAGTTGTGTTTCCACTTCTCCCAATCAGTTATCATATCTCTTCGCCAGGTTCCTTTTAAGGCGCCTATTCTGTCTCTTTCTTTGGTAGTTTATCTCAGTGCTTACCTTTTGAAGTTGTTGGTAGATTTCCTTATAAAAAGTGCCTGATCTCCATTCTACAAAGAGGCTATTAATTTTTTTAACCGAGGCCTTGCAGATGCCATAACACAGTCATACCTATTCTTTACGTTTCACGCTGACACATTTGCCACTCAATTAACGACCTTAACCTTTTTAAATTTCTTTAGTAAGGATGCCAGCATGGTTGAGATGTGGAATGAACGATTTCCGCTCCCTGACAACGACTTTGAATTTTTGGAGCCTTTGCTTGCTCTCCGAACCTCCATGCTCCAAACACTTGTCAAGCTAAGACAAGACAAGGTTAACAGTCCTGAGGGAATCCTTCAGCTTGCTCGAGCTTACAAGGATCTGGCTACCCATTTGGAAATGCAAGCAAAGGTTGCACGGAGGGCAAATAATCCACAGGTACAACTTGCTGTTCTGAATACATATACATAGATGACTTTGGGAAGAGAATTGTGACGTCACAAAAACTCAATTTGATGGGTTTTTCCTTTCGCAGATAACACAGTAAGAGTAAGAATTAGAATTATCACTTCTGTCTCCTTCGCTCTTCAATTAATACCACCCACACCGTCTTGCCCTTGACCCTACCATTCACGTACCTACCCCCTACCCCCATTACCATTTATTAACCCCGTCGAGCGCTCTCCTATCATCTACTCCGTTTATAGTCTTCGCTTTTAGTTTTTTTACTCTGAAGTGGCAAGTGGAATTCAAAACTATCCAATACATGACAATTAATTTTCAAGACTAGGGCGGGAACCACTTAGCGCCCAAATAACCGGTTTGTCATCAAACGGTCCATTCGATATTGTTTTCTTTTTAGATCTAATGCTTATACGGTATAACAAATACAGGTAAAATAGCTAATTTTTCCGGACTCTTAGCTAACACCTGAGGTTTTCTTTCCCTAAAGAAAGTGGATACATAGAAATTGGGCTCAAATAATCCCAACTACACTACTTAGACACTTTAAAAGTCTAATTAACTCTTTATTCGTGTTCATCCGTGGACACAGGTTGCTGAGAAAGCCTTGTTTCGAATAAGACAACTACAAAGTGACATAACAGATGTGCAGAGTAGGCTTGGAGGAGAGGACCTCGGGGTTTCATGGTCATGGAAAATGGAGGAAGCAAAGTTACGATGGGCCAAAGGGGAACAGGATACAGCTATGTACTTACTAAAGTCATTGGGTAGACAACTGGAAAAGGTACAGAATCGAGTTAGTGTGCCTTAGATTAGTACTTTAAAAGGATATAGAGTGCTGTTTGAAAATATTCTTTGTTTGGGGAGGTTTTGGGATGGGACGTCGGAGAGGTTTATATGAATTTGTGAGTACAATACAGAGGCATGTCACCCTCGAGGGGGCAAAAGGTAGGCAATCATCTTACCGAGGTAGACTTTTGGTAAGCATTTCTTGACCTTAGTAAGGTATGGTTTTTACAGTATGATAGACGTCTGGTGACTGCAAACAATATTGTTCCAAAAGGTGTGATACTCTTGCAGATTAGGGTTGTTGTTTTGCTCATTCAACGAACTGCTCTTTTGACGTTCTTCTTGCTTCGCCGTCGTGACATCTTAAATTCCCTTATTCCCATCTAATACAGAGAATTCATGTATTCAAAGTCACCTCTGTTGTGTTGAAACGTATTTTCAGGTTCGTGATCATAGCCCTGAAGCCTCGGTCCTTTACCCACAAGCTCTGGGCTTGTATGGAACCTGGCTGGCAGAGTCTAAGTCGGAGAATCCTAACACCATCATTGAAGATTACTTAGAGAAGGTAAAAATCGTAATTTCTAACAGTCAAATGCACAAATAAAGCCGTTCGCTCCAACGTACCGACCGTTTTCAGCTCTATACGAAAGCTTACAATCTGTATGTTTAACATGTTTGGACAAGTAAATCTTATGTACCCACTCTGATCGTAATGTAAAAGCAAGTGCTAATAACACAGTTCAGTGTACGGACTTCTTGCAACTCTATACAGACCGACTGCGAGGTTTGCGATCCGTAAAACCTACAGGAATCGGATCGTTGCATATATGGACTATTGTAGCATGTCAATTTTGGACAAACCTCCTCAAATTATAATTCTTACACGAGTTTCTTTTCGGAGTTTCTAGTACCTACATCAGTCGTCATTTATCTGCATTTCGGGCTTGTTTAATCATGGCACTGTTCCTTTTTTTGCTTGTCAGGCGGCTTGTTTAATGGAGTGTATGGAAGGCGGAAATGATGCGTCAAGGATCGAGGTGCTCAAATTGATTATTTTGTCCCTTATGTTTGTATTTGTTGTTTATATTCTTGCTTGCTTTATTATACTTTTTAATGTATCTTCGTTTCTTTTTTTTTTGTCTGTTTATGTGCCTGTTTCTGTTTTTTTTTTTTTCACGTATCTGTTTCCTAAACACCCTTAAGTCAAAAATTTGCATTTCCTTACAGTTGTTTTTTTTGGTGTTTGTCTCTGTGTAGGCCTTTTTGTCTCTCGCCTGGTTTGCAGACACACAGTACCAAAAGAAAGTGGATTTCATGAGTTCGAGCACTTACGAAAACAAAGAGGCTTTGATGAAAAAAGCCAAGGTAATTGTTTGACACTAACTGTGAGGTTTACTCTGCTTTGATAATTTGTGAATAATCTGATTAAAGTTTAGCAATGTCGCACGAAAGTATACCTGCGGTTAGACATGGTTATCAGACACCTCAAACATTTTGTAGCAAACGTTTTGCTTATTTATCGAAGAAATTGATGTCACTTAATGTTTGTTCGAAAGCTTTCTTTTTTTTTCTTCGACAAGGAAGGTGAGATTGTCGGGCATATGTCCTTTCCAAAACTACAAAAAAGCCTTATCATTCTGCTTTATTGTTTTAAGGTGGAATCGGAACGGCTTCAGCGAGTAATTGAATCCGGAAAAGACAGGTATGCACGAACCCTGAACTTACAAGCTCAGATGGATGAAAGAGAACTTCAACAAGTGGTGGACGACAAACGGAAATTCCTGAAAACGGCTGTTGAGTACTACATTAAAACACTGCAGACAGGGGTAGGTTGGAAAGGCTGCATGCTTAATTCTTGCAAACTTAATAACTGCAGCCACTCCTCTCCCCTCCCCATCAATAGTGATCATGATGATGATGATAATAGTAATAAGCCCATGTCCCGTCCTTTGCAGCGTAAATGAGGTTGTCTGAATTGACTGACTTGGACTTTGTCACCTTGTGTGACAAAAGCATATAAATAGGTAATATATAAACTGCCTTCTCACTTTGTTCTTACTAACGGACTAAGTTAAGCTTTTCTCAGGTGTCAGGTGTGCTGAAAAAAGAACGCTAAATAAAGCATTTGAAAAGGCAATTGAAAAGTACTGAATGTGTAATGGCTAGCCTTTAAATTCTCGTCGTTAGTTGGTATGTTATCTTTGGTTTTTTCCTGTTTTTAGGATAAGTATGACATGAGAGTGTTTAGGCTTTGTTCCCTCTGGTTTGACAACGCAAAGGAAGAGTTTGTCTCGCAGATGATCAAGGTTTGTTTGTAACCATTTACCATTGTCCATCGTCGTTCTTCATCTAGATGTGTTTAAAGGAAGGTTTTTAAGCTGCTGAAAAAAAACACCCTTCAAACAGAATTATTGTTTCACTAATAATTGGTGAGATTGAACCTGTGTCCGCCTTCATCGATATTGTTATCTTAAAGTTAATAAGCGTGTCAAAGATAAGGACCATTGTACATAATGTGTTAATAAAAATACTTCCCTCTCTCTCTGGTATGCTGTTAGGAGGGAGTGACGAAGATTGAATCTCGCAAGTGTCTTCCTCTGATGTATCAACTAGCTGCCAGGCTTGGAACAAAGTCACACGATAATCCTCTATTCCAGTCAACTCTTAACGAGGTATGCTCACTTCTATCCATTACTCACTGCCATGTTTCGTTACATCTACTTTTAAATGATACTGCTAACACTAATCTGCTGTACTTGACTTTGCCAACACTAATCTGAATAAGGGCGTATTTATAAAGACCAGTATGGATGTAGAGTTCTTTGATCTTGCCCGGCCTTGTACCTTCACACAGAGTACAGAACTGCTTACCAGGGATCACTCTGACGGTATTTGCATTTGTGAAAGGTTTTCCTTTTACCAGACTGATGGAGATGGAGGAAAGACCCTTTTTCTGAGAACCGTTACTGTAGAAAAGTTTCCATGCTAGCATAGGTCTCTCACGGCAAGAGATTAGAAGGAGAGGAATTAGAGGGACCTCTGCCGGTCCCGACGTTTTCTTTCACGTAGCCCCTGACCACATTTGTGGTCGAAACTTACTGGTTTTCAAAACCGTTTTTGTTTAATGTGTAATGCGAGTGCCCTGTTGAGATTGCAGGCTGGAATATTTTTTGGCCTACAGTTGTTATCGCGCAAAAACCGGTTCTGTAAGTTATTTCGCACTTTACAAAAACGTTATTGGTTGTTGAGGAAAGGCACTCATGATAGAAAACGCATCGGAGAGCAGCAGATGTGTTTCTCTTTCCTATCATTATTCTCTTGTCGTGTGAGACCTCTGCTAACAGGGAATAGAAACTTGCGATTAATAATATAATATTTTTTCAGCTTATTGAACGAACAGCGGTTGACCATCCTCACCACACTTTATTCATCCTATTTGCACTCGCAAATGCTGAGAAAGATAACAAATATCTAACTGGTGGCAAGAAGACCGCAACTGCCTCGAGGCTTACAAGAAACAATTCTAAGGAGGCGAGCAGCGGATTCACAGAGGTATTTTGGTCAACAAGTATCACTATTTCTGTTAGGCTTTTTTATCTTTGGTGACCATTTCATTAATTCTCATGAGCTGTCTGTTTGATCAGGCAGTGTTATTGTTGGGAGAAATTGGATGTGGGTAACTATCGGGGCTTAAAGGGTTAAGCAACCACGATGGCAACGGCAGTGGAAACGTCACTTAAAAAGCGAATTCACACTGTTTCAAACTTCATAACTCTTAATTTGTCAAATGTTGGGGAATTTTTTTTCTGGATGTTGATTGTAAAGGAAATGTGAAGGACTGTATCTAGAAATTGTTGTCTTCTGTTTACGTCCTCCATAAAACGAGAAACTAGGAGGTTACACGTTGTAGTTGTGCAACAACGGAAAAGTAAATTACTATTTTACATTTTTTTTTTCCTTTCATTTTTAGGCTCGCATTAAAACAGCTTGTGAGTTAATTGATAGGATTGGAAAACAGCGCGGAGAACTTGTACATAACATGAGATGTTTGTGTGAAGCGTACATTGAACTTGCCTATGTCAATGTCCAACATCTAAAGAACGAAAGAGGTGCGTTATCGTTACAAACATAGTGTAAACTTTTTCAAGCGAAAGGTTTCCTCATTTTCCGCTTGTCCCGCCTCTTAAACAACTTTTCTCGCACATTTTAGGTCCATTTAACTTGCAGGATGTCACAATCAAGAGAATTTCAAACCTAAAGGAAGTGCCGGTGCCAACTTTAGAAGTGGAGGTAAATACTTTAAGTGTAGATAGATAGATAGATAGATAGATAGATAGATAGATAGATAGATAGATAGATAGATAGATAGATAGATAGATAGATAGATAGTTTATTAATAACCGATTTGCAACTAAAAGTTGAATTATACGATTATTTACAAAAAATTTAATATTGATAATTACATTTAAAAGACTACAAGTGGTTTAAAACAGCAAATAAGGACACTATATATATGTTCTAAAAAATATATATATATAGAAGAGGTTTAAAAAATCTACTAAAACCGTTCAAGCCTTAAGGGCGTTAAAGGTAATAAAACTACTACGAAACCTGTTCGTCTTAAAAGCTGGCTTAAACTTCCGCATATTTCTTAGGTTAAAGGTACATGTGTTGCGAGCAGGAGAAGTTCATGGAGCTTGTTCTGTTCGTTCTGTAAAACATTCTTAAATAGTTTATCAACTGCAAGTGTTGGGTTAGGATTCCCATCCGGAGCTGGATATTTTTTTCCCTTCTCCTAACGCTCGTGTCCTCGTCACATTTCTCCTTCTCACGATGAATACATTATCTTCCTAACGGTCTAACTGGTTTCTTCATCAGGTCGACCCATTATGTCGATACGATGACCTTGTTCATGTGGTCAGATTTGACTCCAAGTTCTGCCTCGCTGGAGGAGTGAATCTTCCTAAGATCATATTTTGCATTGGCTCTGACGGAGTCAAACGACGGCAGCTGGTCAAGGTGCGTTTGTTACACACAAAATAGTGTGTTTTGGTAATCATTCTGGGTCATCACAACATTAGAAGGTAACAGTCCAATAACCACCCAGTTTATGTAAACAGGCGGCGCCTTGCAAGAAAAAAAAAGTGAGGAATTACTTTCAGTGTTTAAATGAATACCACCACGTGATGGGACGTGACTTCAAGTGGCAGGAAGTTGTGAATAGTGGGTGAAAAGCCACTCTAGATTCAGAAGTTCTTTTGGATGTCCGACACTTTTGTCGGTTTATTTATGTAGATGAATGTTTCCTTTACTCACTGAATGTTAAGGTACGCAAGACCTCTTTTAAATTAAGCAACGTAACAAGTCTAGAACATTTGAGCATTTTTGATCCGGTTGGGTTTTTTTCGTTATCTGTATAGGGAAGAGACGATTTGCGCCAAGACGCTGTTATGGAACAGGTGTTTGGAATGGTGAACCAGTTACTTATTAAAAACTCGGAAACGAGAAAAAGGAAACTAAAGATGAGAACGTACAAGGTATTATCGTTGTAAGAAATCTTACACTGTTGGTCGTGTTGTCTTGTTTGAATAAGCCTTTCATTTTCAAAGGTAGTGAAATTTTAGCGTAAAGTATAGACAAAATCATGATCTGTTTCCTGCTTCAAGTATATGATGAGGTGCGTTCATTTTAGTGAAAGATGTTATCTTCGCATTTTACAAGCTTTGTTCACTGTGCGAACGCATGTGCCATTGGTAGACAGTATACTTGTCATGTTTGATTGGTTTGTGTTTCAACTCTCTGACGAGCATGTCTCCAACGCGCTTTTTTCTTCAGTGGTTTTGGTTTGTGTGTTCAGATAAAATCCGTACGTTATTTGAGAGCATTGAAGGAAACGAAAAGTAACTCTGTCGTGCGGCAAATGCTTAACGATGCTTTCATGTCGTTCCTTCCTTTTTCGCTGACTTGCTTAAAATTAGGTTTACCGTGCTCGTGGTGTTTCTGGAAAGTTTGAGGAATTTTTTTAAGTTTCTACTCGTTTGCTGTCGAGGTCTGTGAAATTTACTTGAATGCTTTTTTTTCTTACCTTCTCCTAGAAAATTTCTAGTCTGGGTGAATCAGAATGTGGTATATAGTCGATGATTCCAATTGACCTGCACCTATCCAAACCTGTTATTTCATTGGTCTCTATAACTTGCACTACCTATTGTTTTCAGGGATAGGGGCATTGGTATGTCACCATCCCTATTGTTTTCCCAGCTAATCACAAACCTTGTTTGGTAAAGGTACAGGTCGGCGCCGATGATTCCCTAGAAAACTTTTAAGATTTCATTCTCTCTTAGTGGAACCTTAGTGCCCAGGTCAGGAGTACTGCTTTATCTCATTTCGCCCTATCCTCTCTTTGTCTTGTATTGCACCAGGTCATACCTTTATCACAGCGCAGTGGAATAGTTGAGTGGTGCGAGGATACTATGCCTCTGGGCGAGTATCTTGTCGGAAGGCCTGGTACCAAGACAGGCGCTCATTCGCGTTACTGTCCGGGAGACTGGACATCGTTTGACTGCCGAAAGAGAGTCAAGGTACTGTGGACAAACGTTGGAGTTTAATTTTGCTGCTTGCTTAAAAGAGTTGCACAGTGAGCAATATTGAACGGCAAGTTTGTTGCTTTGAGCGGCGTATCCAATCGCCTATAGACGCAAACAACCCTGTCTTTACTTTTTTTCATAGGCCATGCACTTCTTTTATCTTCGTTTAGGATCATCCGACCGACCCGATAATATAGCGACTTAGTGAAACCTTTTCATTCATTTTAAAGAAATGGGCATTGTAACAGCATTTGGTGGCATTATAGTTTCGGCAGTGCATCTCTTTTGCCACGTTTTTAACTTGTGGATTACGCGTAGCGTAAGGAACAAATTATTGTGGGCACTGCGATATGCAAATGTATCAATCGGGTGTAGACACCGTTAGTAATTAGTCGGCTCCGCACGAAAGCGCTCGATATCAAAACGACAATTGTCGTAGATCTTTCCCGTTCAGCGATTGCTTAGAGCTTTTGATGTTATGATTTTGTACATTTGACTTCGGACGATAAGTTGTCTTCATGTGTACTTTGAATGTTTCAAATTAGCACTATGGCCAGCTTTGAGAAACGAAACGCATTCGAAGCTAAACGGAAAAAGAAGGATGGCCATAGTAATAAATAGTTGAAAACTTATCGCCTCTGAAAATACATATTCCGGCTATCATGGGTAATTTATTGTAATATGAAAGTGCTTTTTATCGCCAGGTGGGTGACGATGCTGGAAGGCCAAGATATGAAGTCTACCAAGTATGTTGAAATGCTTCTTCTTTGAAGTGCAAAGTATAGACACTTCTTGCAAATGTTTAAAGTTGCAAGATATTCACAGCGTTATCTTCGTTTATGAGGTTCTGTTATCGAGAAGGGATACTCGTGAAAATATAAACAGCGGGATAAGAAATATTTAGGAAGGTGATTCTGGGATTTAGAGAAGTAAAGGTATCATTTTGTGAAAGAGAACAGAATTTTTTCATAGACCAGTGAGACTGGTATAGAGAAAGACAAACGTTAGTCGTCTGTCTAGCGTTCGTATTTATTGTTCTGTCAGCCTTCTTTCTGTCAGTTGTTGACAAAACTGGCCCCTCCAGATAGTCAGTCCTACATACATTTCCCCCTCATCTCAGAGTTATTGTTTAATACTCGGGTATGTTGAATGAAAGTAGTAATTGGCATTACGTACACAAGTAGATACTAAGACCTGGTCCCTGTTTGAGTTTTTAATATGGTTGAAACCTTTATTTCATTGTTGCTGTAGCTTGTTCACCATTAGTCCAAAAATCTGTAAATTGTGGTTGGATAGGGAATAGCAAGACGGATTTGATCTCCGGAACGAAAGGAAGGCCAGCGGTTCCAGTGCGTTCTACCTGTGGTTATAGGAATAAGACACTTACACTCCAGTTCATTTGAAGTTTAGACGCGTCTCATTTGCTGCAATTTTGACGAGCTCCTCCTCATTTTCAGCGTGTTAACGCGCACCCTCTTTTCGGTAACCATCTCGCAAAAGAAAAAAATGTGACAAAGTCTTTTACCCGTTCCTTAGGCCTCTTAGGTGTTTTTTTTCTTGGGGGAAAATGGCCCTAAAGATTTACTGTAACTTGTTGTTTGTTAATCTGATATTCGCACTCTTCGTTTTTCTTGCACAGGAGCTAATGGAACATTTCCACCCAGTATTCCGTCACTTCTTTCTGGAGAGGTTTCCGGATCCTGCCGTGTGGTTCGAGAGAAGGCTAACTTACACCAGAGGAGTTGCCACCTCATCCATAGGTACTGTTGTCATCTAACTACAATCCTGGTCAAAACCCTTGGGGCACTAACGCAATAGCTCGTCAAAATGACACATTTTCTCTACCCAGTGTGAATGCATTCAAGTCAATGCATTCAGTCAGCGTTGCTTGGGAGAGAGGGGGGCAGCAGAAATAGTTTCTTTCCAAGCGTTTTTTTTTTATGGAGGGGTAGAACACGAGTTAATTTAGCAAGGCGAGTCTTCTCGCCAAATTCGCTCAAGTCTCCCAAGATGTCTTGTCCAGGACTTTATATCTCGCCAATTGCTATCTTTTTAAAAAGCTAAAACGTGTCTTCGCATTAATTAAATTACAAAAATAGTGTCCCAGAGTTGTTATTTGACACTATATTTAGGCATTAAAACTGTTATATGCCGTCATGGGAAGAATAGACACGGAATGAAAATAAGCTAACTGGGTAAAGGCACTAAGCAAGTGTAAGTTAAGAACAGAACAGACCTAAAACTTCAATATCATAGTAACGAAGTGCATTAAGCCTTAGCCAAAAATGTAAACAAATTGTTGAACCAAGTAAACGTAACTGGCTCTCATTGCGAAAAAACACTCAAATCTGGATTGATTTAAGTCTCACTACTTATCCTTTTTCCCCTGTCACATGTAGTTGGTTACGTTGTTGGTTTGGGAGACCGTCACGTGCAGAATATTCTTGTGGACTGCAATACAGCCGAACTAGTCCACATTGACTTGGGTAAGAGAAGGAATTTTTATTCTATGTCGACCAGAAAGAGTTTCGTGCAACTCTTCTGATTTATTCCTCTCGAACTGGATTGTGAAACAACTCATCAATTGGAAATCAGAAATGACTCCGATTCTTTGATTTAAGACAGGAGTTTTGCTGTAGTTTCAAATTATTTTTCCCAACGTGTTCAGTGATTTTGTTACCCTTGGTTTCCTGTGTCCCTGACGCATAAAAATCCTTAAACACGGAAAATAATTTATGACGTGCGTCCCGTAGGACGCATTTAACCGCCGCCTGGTAAGCTCAGTTGGGAGAGCGCCGGTCTGCCGAGCGGGAAGTCGCGGGTTCAAACGCCGGCCGGAACAACACTCAGGGTCTTAAAATAACTGAGAAGAAAGTACTGCGTTTGTAATGACATCTGCAAACGGCTAGACTTTCTAGTCTTGGATAAGGACGAAAACCCGTAGATCCCATCTCACAGCACTTGCACTGATTTGTTCTTGCGGGACGTAAAAGAACCTACACCACTATTCGAAAAGAGTAGGGGGCGTAGACCCCGGTGGTGTGGCCAACCTTTAGGGGTTGTGGGATTGCGTAGGGATGGCACCTCGCATGGGACCTGCGTCCCGTTCGTGCACATTCCCCCTGGGCAACCCTGTGTCCAGAAAAGTTGGTAAAACTAAAAAGATCGATTGATCGATCTAAACATGTGTATTTGTAGAAGTATCCCATTCGTGTAATTTCTGTGGCAGTTATTATACAGCTGTTGTTTAACGATGCATGTTTCTTGTAGCCTTTGTTGTGCTTTAAAAAAGAAGGACTATATTTTCAGTTCATTTTACTGTCAGTAATACAGCGTTTTGGAGTCTGTCTTCAGATTAACCGTCTGGTTACATATGCAGGCTCAAGCATTTTCAATTTCGGACTCATTATTTTATATGGGAATCAATGGTTATGGACTGGAGACTCATGATTCATGACTCACTGAGTCCTAGGACTCACCAGAGTCAAAACAAAATCACTGCATGTTTAGAAGTTTCTATTATTTATGATCAATAAGCAATAACTGCAGACGTCCGCGTAGGGCTGCTAACATCCGCATTTACGCGGTTTGATTTGCAATCTGACGTTTCTTCTGTCTGACACGCGCAAAACTAATCTTCTTTGCCTGTCAATAATCATAGGGGTGGCGTTTGAGCAAGGTAAATTTCTCCCCACCCCTGAGACGGTACCATTTCGCTTGACACGTGACTTGGTGGACGGCATGGGACTGACAGGGGTGGAAGGAGTGTTCAGACGATGCTGTGAGAAAACAATGCAGGTCATGAGAACATCACAGGAATCACTCATGACTATTGTGGAGGTACGCGCTTTTTTTATTTTTGTTTTCTTTTTTATAGTGTCGTACAACAAAAATCAAAGTATTTATCATCCCCGTTACAATAGAAACAGACGAATCAATGAACCATATGAAGAAAAAAAAATCGATCGAATTGAGGAGGAGGAGAAGGGGTTAGTCAAACTGTCTGCAATAATACGTTACGGCTCAGTGATTTAAAATCACAGGCGAGTTTGAGCTTATTCCTTCGACACCATCAATACTTTTCTCAGTTTCTATTCAACCAATTGAAAGCCATGACAGCCACCCAAAAACAGCACATGGCCTTAATGAGATTCCCCCGCATTTTGTTCATGAGATAAAGACAAAAGGCTATTTCAGTATGACGTCATCAGCGTTAATGTAAGATAATGATATTTTATTCAGCTGATAAAAACAAATGGCTACGACGTCATTGGCGTAACAGTGCCACTACTTGGACAAAGTTGACCAATCGTACTACAAGAAGTTAACAATACATCCCAAGAAAGTTGGTTGTCGGCCAATCAGCAGCTCGTTAAAAAAAATGATTAGTTACTCGAAACACAACATTTTAATATTGATAGCAAACGTTTTCAGGGAAAGCAAAATGTTTCACCCGACAGTGTTTTTCTATTCGATACTCTGTATACAATACCCAGGAGACATTTCGTTGAAACAAGCTATTCTTTTGCCCTCTACCAGCAATTTCTTCGCTCCTATTGCCTCGCTTTGCAGTAACATGAGACCGCAAGTCAAAAATATAACTACCGTTTACGTTTTTCGCCTCAGTAACCCACTATAGCGGACCTCTCGGGAAACACGTGCTTTCTTCAGCGGGTGCAAAAGGTCACGTCTGTGGGTTTTATTTGGTCGTTATGATTGAAAACTAGCTTTCTCGGGATGTATTGTTATTTTCCTGTAATCCGACTGGTCAACTTTGTCTAGCTGGCCCCGTCAATAGTAGTCGCACTGTAATGTATTTCTGCGCAAGTTAATGAGATTCCTGTACAAAAAAAGGATCATTCAGTGCCTACAATACTACTGACGCAAATGCTTTGTATCAATTGCGCCAGTTTGAGTGTTCGTTGTTTATGGCAAATCTCCTCTTGTTATATCAATGCATAGTAGTCGCACTGTAATGTATTTCTGTGCAAGTTAATGAGATTCCTGTACAAAAAAAAGGATCATTCAGTGCCTACAATACTACTGACGCAAATGCTTTGTATCAATTGCGCCAGTTTGAGTGTTCGTTGTTTATGGCAAATCTCCTCTTGTTATATCAATGCATAGTAGTCGCACTGTAATGTATTTCTGCGCAAGTTAATGAGATTCCTGTACAAAAAAAGGACCATTCAGTACCTACAATACTACTGACGCAAATGCTTTGTATCAATTGCGCCAGTTTGAGTGTTCGTTGTTTATGGCAAATCTCCTCTTGTTATATCAATGCTTTATTAATAAGGGTCGTCACGAGAATTAAAGATAAATCGATACTGTAACAGCTTCTCCCCTTTATATCTATGAGACATGTACAGGAGCAACAAATGAGAATTTAATTTTTTAAAAAAAATTAGGGTACATCGTGGTTTAGCGACCTAAGGACGAGCCCTTTATCTGACGCAGTTTTCTCCCAAAATCCTAAAATTAACGATAGTCCCCAATATCAAATTCAAAAGAAGGCTAAGTTTTATTTTTTGTTGTCAGGTTTTGCTCTATGATCCTTTATCATCTTGGACACTGAGTCCAGAGAGAAGGAAAGCCCTTCAGAAAGCAGAAGATCTGTACGATGTTCCTCCTTCTAGCGCTGTAGGAGATTGTCTTGACGGTTCCGTCATGGCATCAGATAATGGGGCACCAGAAGATAACGTCAACAAAATGGCGAAGAGGGTGCTTTTAAGACTGAAACAGAAATTGGATGGAATTGAAGATGGGGTTCACTTAAGCGTATCAGGACAGGTTAATCATCTTATAAGAGAAGCTATGGATCCAAAGAATCTGTGTCGATTATTTCCTGGATGGCAGCCTTGGGTGTGAACCGTGCTGTTAGACTCAATCTCAATAACAAACAGTCTTTTTGACGGTTAGAAGCGTTCCCATTTGTGATCAAGGAGGAGGAGAAAGTCATCTTGCACTTGATGATCGCCACGTTTAACCAAGGCTGTGGATACCCGAAACCAACCAACAGTTGGTCACCCGATAAGCGCATATACGGTTTTACCATTATCTTCTCTTGAGAATGGAGCCGTTTAGGAGCCTTACCCTGCGAGAACATCTTCATCTTAACTCTTCAAGGACTGTTCCTCATTCGTGTGAACAAACTCTAAGTCGTGGCTGAAGGTCACAAAATGCTTTGTAGACTCTTTTTTCTTTGTGTGGTTGTAACTTTTTTGCCGTTTCTTTAAGTTTGCCTTTGTCTCGTTCCGCTTTGATCAGCTCCATGGCTATTTGCGGGACCAAGCCATGTTGTTATTAGAAATTTTAACAAATATAAATGTTGTTGTTTCCCAAAGCCTCGACATAGTTTTTATATTGAATGTACTGACTGGAACGGATTACATAGAAGGTCTAGAGTATAGATGTAGGCATGTTCGTTCAATCTTGAAAAGGTCTTGAATTTTACTGGTTCTATTGAAAGTCCTTAAATTCTGTTTAGGTCCTTGAAAAGTACTTGATTTCTTTATTAGATCTTGAAAAGTCCTTGAAATTCACAGCCTTGGCCACGCCAGGCACCTTTTTATATTAAATTAGATTATTTTGCCGAGGAAAATTTGGCTCATCCTCGGTGTAAGAACCTGCAAATCACAGGTAATGTAAAAACGTTTTTGTCCTTGAAAAATACATTATTTCTGTTTCTTTATTTCAAAATGCTACAACTGTACCTCAAATGCAACTGCAAGTCATACCCAGTCATTTTGCGAAGTCTTATTGCGCAACGTAGTGTAAAATAATGGGATCAACGATGGCCGCAGGATTATAAATCGTAAATGACGCCATGACTTCCAAGTTGTTTTAGCCAATAGGGTGATCAATGGGGGAAGAGGATGTTGATTTATTGAATTAATTTTAGTCCTTGAAAACTGTAATTTGTCGTTGAAAAATACTTGCAGATTGTTTGTCTGAAGTTGCACGAACCATGTAGCTGTAAAGATCTGAAACTTTCAAACTCTTAAGTCAGACTTGAAGCGGTTTACACTTTTGACGGGATCTCTTAATATTTTTTTCCTGGGGTAATCACAAAAACTTTTTGCTTAGTTCTGAGGAGGCTACTGCTTGGCATACAATTGTTATGATTCAAAGCGAGCATCAGCAGCTAAATCGTCTGATGATGATGTTTTGCAAATATAAAGCCCCGAAGATGATAGTTTCTTTAACCCTTCCTACAACGAAGTAATGTTATAACCTAACCTCTTTAGTAGGAAATGAAACGATTTAATTTCCTTAATTTTAAAGTACTTCGCGGCGCTGCTATTTCTTGTTTTTTCTGGTTCTTTTTCATGGACTAGGTATGTCAAAAGATTCAAGGTAATGATAAAATCAAATTAACAGATAGATTTAAGTTCCCGTTATGTTTGGAAGCAGATTTTTTAAAAGGTTTATCAAACAAAGTAAATGAAAATGATTAAGCAAACTTATAACATATCTTGTGGTCACTGGAGTCGTTCTCGTTGTTTCGTACCTTTTTCTCTTGTGATTTTACTATAAACTGGAACAGAATGCATTTGGAAGTAACAAATAGCTTTAAGTTGCTAACACACCTTTCAACATCGTGCAAAATCTGTTGTTCAACGAATGTTTCACGATGTTGCAGGTTGTTGAATGACAATGCTGCGTTTTGTTGGATAAAGATATTGTATTGTGGACACCCAAGCGTGTGGGAGCGGAGTCCGGGGCGGGTACTTCCATATATAGGCTACACAGGTATATGCTGCCAGATAGGGTATGGCTTTTGAGGCGAACCTTAAATAGGGTATCACTTTTAGCGGGGCTCCCGCGCGCGCGAAGCGCGCGTGGGACAGAGCCCCATACCCATGGAATATGGTCAACCTCTTTTCGTTTGGTTGTCACGTGATTGACCGAGCGTACGTATGTACGTGCGTACGCGTCTACAGATTGTATGGGTGGGGTAGGGGAGACTATCAAAAGGAAGGGAGGGGTGTCTCAGGCGTGTCTTGGCAAGCCCACATCTTTAATATAGGACATTAACAATATGGTCAATTGACAGCTGTCCAAACAGGATAGCCACTGACCAGTATCCCATGACCATATCGCGGGCTCATGTGTCAACTCATCGAGGTGACGTGATTTATTTGGAAGCTGTCCGCTGATCAGTTAACTGTTTTACTAGATCGCGAACAACGTTCAATCTCATACTTTTACTAGTTTGGGAGCACAGGAAAACTGATAATGCACACATATTGGACATTGTTTTGATCAATTGACAGCTGTCAAAACAGAGTACCCGCTGACCAGTATCACTTGACCGTATCGCGGGCTCAGGTGTCGACCCGTCGAGGTCAAGTATTTTTTGAAGTTATCCGCTGACAAGTAAACTAGTTTTCAAGTGATCGCAGGCTCAAGTTCAATTTTTTTTCTTAATTCATATGAAATATGTTGTGTTTATGTGCTGCACAATTAAAATTTTGATTGCAAACTGACCTCAGACGTGAAAATTCAGCCAGCTGTTACAGGCAGGGAAGACAGTTGCTTTTGTTTTTTCTCACAATGGTCACGCGTTGGTCACGCTCTACGTCCAATTTTTATGCTCTGATTGGTCAAAATTTGACATGTGAGTTCATGCGCAAAATTTATGCAGCATCTTGAATCTTGTTTACTTTAATAGCTGAAGCTTACAGAGTTTTGTGTCAACTTGTGATGTTTTTAACTGTCTTTTTCCACTGGATGTACAAAATGAAATTCAGCTGCTATCAGGAGTCTTCTGTTACTCATGGCTAGTTTGTTTATTGGGTTTTTGGTTGAGAAAACGTCGCTTGTCAAAGTCGGAAATCCGATTTCGGATGGCATCGTTTTCGTTTTAACCTTGCTTGATGCGTAAGAGGATTGCAAAGTCTGAAGCGATACTGGCTTTACCTGATAACTTTCAGGAGCTGCATCTCGAATGGTAAGCCAGAGAAATTATTGTATTTCATGTTTGTTTTTTGTATCTAATTTAATGAAGTGGAGCGTAGTTTATGCGGGAATTTAGTTTATGCGCGTTTGTAAGTTTTGAGACAACGATCTCACCGAGTATCTGGTTTGATATAATCTTACAGAACTTTAAAAAAGCCTTTAGACAGTTTCTCACCGCAAATAGAAAGAAAATGTTCCAAAGAATCTTTAGTTATAATTCTAGCCGGAAAAGAAAGCTTTGAGCGATTTTCTTGCCTCGAGTTCGTCTTTGAAAAAACAAACACCGGGAAGCTGGCTTAAAACATAAACTTCAGCAAACTTAAGCTTGAAGCTTGAAGACTCAGGATATTTAGGGACACTTTAATACTTGTCTTCCTGAATGAAAATTGTTGTCTCTGTTTATGTTTCACCGAATTATATTTCTTTTTATTGATTGTTGGTAGTCTCTCTTGCAATTTTAATCGCTATGCCGATTGTTTTCAGTCGTTCAGTGAACATCGCTTGCAGGAGTTCTCAAAATGCCGCGCGTTAAACCATCAAATAAAAAATAAACATGATAAATTCTTTATTATCTTGGAGCGTAACTCTGTTAATGTTCATTCAAACACTCGCTACAGCTCGCACTACAAAAGTGAGAACCGGATGGCCGTATAGGTGATTTTGGAAAAATTTTTTAACAGTTTATGAATATTGAATGAGAGCAATTTGTATTGTGAAATACTGCTTTCTGTCCATGGTATAAAAGGTTGGTTTACACGCACCCAGATTTGTTGGCAAGATTTTGCAAAGTAAACTTGTCGAACGCCAAAACGTTGGCCTGATTTTTTTCTAAGCCTAATTGATCTACGGTGATCAATAGCCATTACGGCTCTTAAATGTGATAAAAGATGATTACCAGTTTTTGAGTGTACATATGAGGCTATCAACTCGATGTAAGATTTGGTTCACTCTTGGGCTGTTTGCAAATTATTTTTCTCTAAAATCAGGTAGCCTTTCCCTCAAAAGTCACATAAATGTGCTCTAAAGTTAACTGAATTGTGGAATTCGAATACAAGTTTATTGTTTAATTTAAATTATAAATTTACTAATGGGAGCCTCGCTTTTAGCCCTGGCTAAATCTATATATTACCCTTGTTGGCATTGTGTTCGCGGTTTGATCCTTATAAGACAAGGTACCTAAATTGTTAGGAGTATCAGCTGAAATTCAACTGCGTTAATGTCCAGCTATAGCAGCCAGATGAAAAACTAATCGGTAGTGTTAAAACTGAACAATCTCTTAGAATAATACTAAGGCGATTTCATTAGCATTTGTGTGCTGTCATTAGATTTTCTTAATTTCTGTTTTTCCTTGAATAGAGTGTCATTTTAAAGACCTTGGAAGGCACACACCTATCCGAAAAACTCCAAAACTTAGGGGCCGTTATAGTATTTTCTGCTGTACAAGATTGCTGCCATTTTGATCTTCTCTGATTGCTATACTGATCTTGGGGTAAGAGATATGTGGCGGTTAGTAAAGGTTTAACTGTAATCCCTTATGACTAACCAAGTTTTTCTACGGAGTCCTCCCTGTTCAAGGCGTTAAGAAAGTGGGGCATCCCTTAAAAGTTAGGAGCAAATTCCTTTAAATTACCGTGTTTTAAATTTATAAAATGAGTTATTAAAGGAGCGTGTTTAACATCAAGAAGTCTCCCTTCAACGTGACGTTATTCATTAAGATCGAATAAAAGATGTCAGGGGCTTGAACATTAAAATGTAAAGGGAATATGGCTCATAACCATTTGCAGATTAGCTATATATAATTCCCGCTCTTGTCTTAACACTTTTAAAGCAAGGGTGATAAAATCCTCAGATTGTCTATGTTGAAAAATCATATTAATAATTCATAAAGAAAAGAGAAAACACTCCAGCTGGTTTATTAAACTATTCTAAATATATTTATAAAAGTAAACTATAATTATCATTAAAAATCTCCCAGAATCCTTTGAGGCAATTTTTTTAAAAAGCTTTATAACTTTGACAATTGTATACGTGGAAGACTTTCAGACCACAACAAGATAACATTTGCATAAAATATCTTCCCATGTCACATCTAAGGTAATGACGTGTCAGTCACGTGACTATTTCCGAATTAGGTTTTTTTCGTTGCTGTGAAAAGAGCTGTGACAAGATTTCATTAACGAGTTAAAAACAAATAGCATATTTGACGTTTTAGTTGTGTGGGGCCATTAAAATTTAAGGGGGTAAAAAACATGAGCGAAAAAGTCGGCAGACTAGGTCGAGGGCTGTAGAGAGTCCATCTTTATTACACGGCAGAGAAAAAATTTGTAGTAAAGTAATGTTCTATCTGATAATTTTTTTCACGACTAAAAGAGGGACATAACGTCATCAGTCACGTGATCAAAACGTTGTGAATGTTTTAGTTCGTTTTTAAAGTACCTTTTTTGTCGTAAATTGGCAAGTTTTTACTGTTTTTCTCGACAATTCTTTACATTGTAATAATGTATTGTCTCTGAGTAATTATTATTCCATAAAGCAGAACCAAACAAAAACTGAGCCAGAAGTTTAAAAGTTGCGTAAATTGACCAATATTTCAAGTTGAAATAGAAAAGGAAACCTATTCTTGAGACTTCTGTAAAATCCTTTTTCAACTTAACTGTTTGTTTGCCGAAATAGATGTTCAACGTTTGTTGATAAAGGAGAACTTTTAAAACTAAAAGGTTGTATTTGGCGGCCATATTGTTTTTCTTCATTCCGGGAGAGAGGTCATGTAGCAAATCTTCTAACCCTAAAAGCCAAATGGTTTGCTACTCTAACCTAAAACAATGGAAATAATGATGAACAATGAACAATGAAAAGACACCTTACAAGCAGGGAGAGAATCGTACGGTCATACGGTTAAGTCGGTAGCCGCGCGATTGAAAGTTCATAAAGTTCTTAAACGTTCCCCGGCATGGACCAAGCCTGAAAGAGTATTAATGGGTTTATTGTGAGCTTTACGTCAAGCTTCGTTCAGTTAAAGATTTAATCCTTCAAGGAAATTAAAAACAAAAAAGTCATACTTGAAAACTGTCAATCACCATAGAGAAGGAATATATATACCTCTTTTACAAACAAACTAACAGCTTTTACCGAGGTGGTCCTGTGGATAGAGGCGTTAGCTTTTAGTTCTAACTGATTTTGAGGGTCCGGGTTGGAATCCCCTTAAAGCAAATTTTTCGTAACCTTATTTTCTTTTTCTTTTTTTAAAATCTATTTTTTACTCTATTGTTTACCCGTGTGGTGCATATAGCTAGTAACATAATGTGGTAAACTGAAAGCAAAGTTTACAGGAATATAAAAAAGCGGTATATGTATCATAGCGTATCTACCAGTATTTTTAGTAATACTGGACACTATTATCATTACCCAGTTCAACCGTCCATTTTCACTTGTGCCTAATTTAATTCGAGAGGTAGGTCCTTTGAGACGGGACGTCTGAATCAACTAAATTCGACAGTTGCAAATTAAATACAACTTTGTCGAATCTGCGACTGAAACATTCGAAAATTCAACTTATGTTCAACATTTGATTTAGAAGTCGCATTTCGCATGCGCCTAATATAATGCATTAATTATAGAAACCCCTATCCGTATTGGATAAAAAAGTTTTCTAGAGACTGGGAATATTTACAACAAACGGAGTTAAATTCCGCACCATCATATCCGACGTCTGAATCAAAGGCCGTATTTAGCTACTTTCATCGACTAAAATAGGTGTTCGGCACTCATAAGAAATTCCACGTTTGAAAGGGGCCTAACATGACATAAGTTTCAGCTTAGTGGTTTGTAGGCTGTTATTAAGTAATTGTTTTCTTTTCAGTAAGAGCAATTCGTATCTCTCTTAATGTAAATCCATTCTATTAATCGGCTTGTGCCGCGACTTAAGAATCAGCTGTAACAGTTGATTTTACTTTCTCTTTGACATGATTTGTATGTCACTGGACATGATTTGTATATCAAAAAGAGTGATCAATTTTTATCCATCCATTTCAATAAAAGCAAATGGAATCACTTCTCACTATAGCGGACAACCTCGAACCGTGACTATGCAGCACCAAAGAAAAACGAAAAAGCCAACCCTTTTTGATCAAATTATTTTAAGGTTTAAACTCGAAGCTTTATATAGTGTAAAATAATTATAATTTACTTTTACCGGTATCACTTGTAATAATAATAATACTGGGTGTGTTTCTACGGCACAGTTAGCCTACTCTTAGATCCGAAAGTTGGTTCAAATGAAGTCTCCGTGCTCATTGAATCGTTTCTGAACTTCATCCCTTAATTTTTCCTGTTCATCTTTGTATCGCTGGGAATTTCCTGTAATCTGTCGAAAAGCGTCAAAAACTGCTTTAAATTTTTCATCGGTCATCCTTTCTATCTGGTCTATTTTATCTTTTAACCTACGTTTCGAGTAGTCCTGTCTGCACAGGTATTCTATTTTATCTCGCGTATCAACACCGTCCTTCTCCTTGGTCTCCCTCTGCTTTTCACTCGTCACCTTCTGGATATCTTTTTTGCACCAATATTGTATATCTCCAGTCAAATTTCTGCTGGCACCTGCCTGTAAAAGTCGAGAGAAAAAAAAAAGTGAATAATAAAAAAGCAAATAAATAGAAGGAAGCATTTATTTTGAAAACACAGTGCGCCGCAATGGCGTTCAACGCTGCTTGTTTTATTTTATGTTTTCCCAAAAACAACACACATTTTTTCTACACCAGAATGTCAATTTTTAGAGAAGCTGCGTGATTTATCTTGAATGGACGGTATTATCTGCGCAGTAGAAGAAGTAGGGCATGATGTTACTACAACGTAGAGTATATGCTACACTGGAACCCCTCTCGGCCACGGAGACCCGTATCGGACAGTTCATTTGGCCCGACCAAAAGCTCATTTATTTTCTCTACATTAACCCGCTTAATACGGACACAACTATACGGACACAGATTGATACGGACAATGGACATTTTCCTATGTCCCGAGTTATACATGTATACTCCAATATATATATAGTCAACCCAGCAAAAAAAAAGACACTGTTTAAATGAGCACCGTCTATGACTGAATATCCTACTAGTAATGCAAACTAAGGCTCGAAAAACCACTGCACACACCGTGAACGATCAATGTAACTCAACGTTGGATCAAACAAGGTCGTGATCAGTCGAACTGAAAACCTAAAACCTAACAAAGACGGCAAATGACCTTTCAGAGGCTTTTTCTAACATTCAGTCCACCAAAAACGTGAATACAAATTTGAGTCGCGGATTCCTCTGTCGTGTTACATCGTAAATTAAAAAAAATTCTGTTTTAGCCCCCAAAAGAGCTAATTTAGCCATGCACGCCTAAGTCTGATTCAGCCCTCCTGGAGCCGTTTCAGCATTATTTAGACCAAAACGGCCCCATCCAGAGGGCCCCATCAAAAGCCTTTTTGAGCCCACGCTGTGACTCTTCTCAGCCCATGGGTCCAAATCGGTTCTAGGTCAGTGGACTCTATATGCTTAGATTGACGCAGCCAAATTAGAGAAAAAATAGTACTGTATTTTATTTTACTCACTGAAACGGCCCCATTTTTAAGGCTGAAACAGATCTTTTGATTTACAGTCAGGGGTGTACTGTACTTCCAAAAAAGTAATTTAAGTCCAAGACTATGATAAAAGATCGTTAGGTTTCTTCAGGATAATCTCGTTGCATACGGATACAGTTTAGAAATTAAACGACTTTTCCTCATAAAAATCCTCTTTGAGTCCGTATTAACCGTGTTCACTGTATTGTGGTCTATTGTCGATCAAATACAATAGTTCCTTCCACGGCGGTTTTTTCACATTTTGATAAGGACCAGTTACAGAAAATCCGTCGACACTACTGAAAAGAGCGCCTTAAAATTAGTAAAACTGCCAAGTTTGAAAGTGATACGTTTAATATGAAAACCGAGCGAAGATTATATAGCTCCGCAGAGGTGCGAAAATTTACAGGCGATTTTGTAGTGAGCGCAAGTTCCCCCCACCATACAAATGTCTGTATTTAATTTCGCGACTTTGAGGAGCTATTATCTTCGTTAGTTTTCAACAAATCACGTTTAATCTTGACACTTTTATTAATTTTAAGGCGCTTTTTCCAGTGATGTCGACGGATTTTCCCTAACTTATCCACGTCAAAAGTTGAACAAAATCGTGGAAAGGTCTATTGGCAACCCGGGATTGGCAAACTGTGGGAAAAAATCACTCATTAATTTGTACATAAACGTCTGAGATACAATCAGCTTGTTGGCTTTATTAAGATAATGATAAGCGATTGACGTGCTTCATTCCGAATGAATCTAAAGAGATAACAAAGGATTTTAGAAGTTACTTGCTTCATTTCACACTTAGGCTTGCAAATGAACCTAACGTTGAAAAGATTTTGGACTTTGTAGTGGCGGGGGGTAGGGGAGGTTTGGAAAATGTTACTTACCGGTATCTGAAACCGCTGTGCCTGTGTGCGGAAACAGCAAAACGGAAAAGGAAGTCTTGTTTTAATTCCTTCAATGTCGTCGAAATTTGTGCGAATTTCGTTCACAAGTCCATTGAATCTACCATTGCCCTCGTTGATTTCGATGTTTAGATCCTGAAAAGCATCATCTATTTCCTGAAAGGTCGATTTGAATTTGCTTTCCATTCCTTGCAAGGTCTCCATTATCGAATCAAGCTCTTCTTGTTGGAGTAGACCAGCATCTTGAAATTCAGTGCTTTTCACGTTTTCATCCACATCTTGATGTGAAGTCATCTAAATAGACACAGAGATCAACTTCAATGCATCCATTTTTTAAATCACTGGTGATCGTTTTAACTTGATTGGATTTCAGCACTGCAATTTATCCGCGAATGGCACTATTTTTTGCTCTAAATCGCATCTTTTTTACCCAGCGAATGAAAATGAAAAACTAAAGGAAACAGACAAACAGATTTCAAGACTTGTTTAAAGTGACCAACCAAACATGTTTTTCTTTGTTATACCATCAAGTGAGGTTTTTTTAAATGACATCTAGGTCTTTCTGTTTTGCAAACAAAATGAGATACTGGGAAAAGCGTTTCCAGTTCCGCTTCTTTAACAAACCGGTTACTGGAACCGGAGTAGTCAATCAATAAAAATCGGTATCGATTTATCAATCGATAAATCGATAAAAATTGGTAAATCTGATTTGATTGATATCGATTGTATCGATCAATCGGTAGAAATCGATGACACGCTCGTTTCGTTTATCGATTTATGTAGATTTTACCGATTCCATCGATTTATATCGGAAGATACCTCTGTTCTTCTGTTCATCCAATAATGAAAACTGATTTTATACAAACAGTGAATTTGTGGACAATTGAGTTGCAATAAGAGTCGAAGGATCGAACAATTTACTATAACTTTTTTTATCTTTTTCTTTAAAACCCACTTTTTAAAAAGTCATTAGTTCCGCGTGTAGTTACTTCCCGGAGTAGCCAATAGATAAAAATCGAAATCGATAAAATCGTCAGGGATCAAGTGATTTCATCGATTGATATCGGAAAACGGTTAAAAAGCACTCACGCACGCACGCACGCATTTTAGGCATCCTCCTGATGAACAGTTCCGTCACGTAGATATATATTTTTTAGCAACTACCATAATTTGCAGTCTGTCTACTTTGAATCTAGGGAAATCTTTTAGCCTGAATTTCAGGGATCCCTTCGACTCTAGAGGATGTCGGAAATTCAGGCTGGGAAATCTTTTACCTGAGGCCGTATTTCTCGCGGTACTTGCCTGCGAGAACTGCGAAAGTAAGGTCACGGTTTTAGAGAGAATCTTGTGTCTGTAATAGTTTCCACATTTCTTATTTTCATGTTTGTTGATCAGTTGTTACTCGTGGATGTGTTTCCTCAGCTGTACTATTTAACTTACGCCCAAAAAACAACAATATCGGACTTACCGTTATAAATCGTTAAAATCAAGAAAAATCGATACTATCGATTTTCACCGATTTTTGTTATCAATCGGTAAAAATCACTTGATTGCTATCGATTTGTATCGATTGATTACTCCGGGTACTGGATCACTAGAATATTCATTTGGTACTAACTAAAATCCTATGTTTGGACGGCTGTGCGCTATTTCAAAATGGATGTACTAAAATGGTAAATGAACATCGTTTGGTGCAATTCATTCTTGTGATTTCAAATCACGCTTGTGATTTTAGACCAAATTGCAACCCACTCAGTTTAATTGCCATTATTAATTGATTCTCAAAGCTACTTTCTTTATAAATTTTTCATTCAGGTCCTAATACAGAAAGTGTTCGGTAGCAGAGGTTTGACTTTACTTTTAATTAGCTTAATTTAACAACTTTCGCTTGGAGTAGTGTGCGTTTTTATTGTTTAAGTGTCATTGTCTGAGAAAGTGTTCCAGGGGCAAAAATTTGTGGTCAACCGTTTTGGCTGAAACTTTGCACAGAAGTTGGGTGTGATGAGATATTTCAAAAGCCACTTTGGCTTACTTCGCTGACTTTTAGTTTTGGAGTTACAGTGGCGGTCTCATTTTTTGCCCTTTTAGCACCAAAAATCCAGCCTTCCAGGGGGCATTTTGAAAGTGTGTTAAGACCCCACTTTTAAATTGAGCTGCCAAATGAATTTGACCATGAACTCTACTATAATAGAGCTTTCAGTTCATGCATGTAACTTTGTCCTCAAGGTATTACACAGAGAGGAGCGTGGGGCTAGAGTTTGGTCAAAATTGATGTTAAAATTATAACCCAAAATAGCCATTTTTCAAAATTTCACTATATTCACCTGCCTTCTTGCATAACTTCCATACCTATACCACTGTTTACTTTAGTCACCCAATTATCATTATTATTGTATTTTTGGAACAAACACTTCATGTTCCTCTAAGGCGATGCAAAATGGAATTTTGAGCATAATTCAGGCCATAAACAAACCAAATTGATGACAAGAAGCCCTTATTATGTATTTAGTAAGTGAAAATGAATCGTCAAAGCCAAATCAGTTTCGTTGTTTAGAAATACACCGATTCTTAACTTTAAATTGATCTAAAACGGGCCTCTAATTAGCACAAAAAACACATGATTTGGCAAAACAAAGGTGATTTTATTCTTTGAAAACCTAGTAACCACCACAGAACACAAATGATGATGTTCTGACGTAGATATAACGATCTTTTTGCAAGATGTTTAAATTTTTCTTTGATTTATATTCAGTTTCACGTCATATTTCTAAGCATTACTCCAAGCATGGAAAGTCTTCCATATTTTGTCAGGCCCATTTTTTTTATATCTTTACCAGACAAATTTAGCTTATCATAAGGTTCGTTAACATATAATCTTCGTCTGACCTTGTAATAGCGTGAATAGTTGTTGTAAATACCCATTAGCAAAGGAGCATGACCGTACAGTATAAAGGTGAACTGTGATTTTCCGAGTCCTTTAGAGCTGAAAAAATTAAACCATCCATCCATCCATCCACATAGGAAAAAACACAAACAATGCCTTGCATTGAGATAATGAAATTGTTATTAACTGGCCCGCCATTTTGGACTTGGAGAGTGTGGGGACTGGACTGAATTCCGATCCAATCCTTGTCCCGCTTCACAGGAATTTTTTTGAGTTTTCATCAGGTGTGTTCGAAGTTGTAGAAAGTGATGTGTTTCAGGATAATTTTACGATGGTAATATAACGATGATAATTTTACGATTCCTTTGGAGGGGTAAGTGACCACTGCGGTGTCACGTAGTGGGCTGTGCAACAAACAAGAATGCTTCCTTTGTTGTCTTGCAATAGTGACATGACTACATGGTTAAAGCACAAGTAGAAGGGTTCAATTGTGTCCTGGGAAGAATAGGAGGGAAGACCTGGTGATACCAAAGCTACAGGTGATTCAAAAGATCAGTTAGGAATCATGTACGCCCACAAATGGCTTTTATCGTGGTTTACGGGACTCTTTTGCTTGAAGAGAGACGATGATATATTATTTACGATATTGTCGTCTTAAATTGTTTGTTTATGGTTGATTGATTCCCTTGTTAACTTCCTGGGTCCTTACGAAGAACACTAAACATTTAACAAACTCATCGCAGCAATATCTTTATCAGAAAAAAAAAACAACAACGACAACAACAATAATAGGACTAACTTGAAGGCTGTTTTTTGTCTGCTCGAGCTGTTTGTTTACATTCAGCTTGTGACGTGGACACGCTTATTAAGCAATGCTAAGTTTGGCAATACACAGTTCAAACCGGCTTGCATTGAAACTCCACCGGTCTCCTTTAATTTGCCTGTTTTGTCGAAGACAGGTCAACTTAAAGCAGGCTTAGCTACATAATTCCGCGGGAATTGTTTTGGGAATTTTAAACATCAAAGAGAATTTTAGAAAATCTCAAGAATAAATATTAGAAAAAAATTGACAAATACTAGAACTTGAATAGCAGTATATATAGGAGAATACTGAATAGCAGTTTGAACAATCAACCGAATTTTGGCAACATTTCACAGGCAAAAGCGTTGAAAAAACGTTTTTATTGTTCTGTATTCCTACCAACCAAGAGAGGGCTCAGTCCATCTACATGCTACAACAGTGTCTAGAGTACTGTCCACTGAGCACAACAAATCAGCAGTTTTTCATCAGAGCCATCTACACTACAACTAATCAGCGGTTCTTCACCAAAAGGGGCACTCGCTATCAAAAAAGAGTAAACATTTTTAGATTTTTTGAGGGAATTTTAGTTTTAGGAGATAACACTCTTATTTAGGTATATTTTTCATTAATTTTTTAATTGACTGGTTAAAATTATTTTAAATAATTTTTTAATTGAATAACGAAAAAATTTTTCTACAAATATACACAAATCTTCCGTGCTCTTCCGGATCCAGAACGATTCAGAGTCAGTTCCCATTCAAGTACGACATATGTGTGTTCATTGCCTATGCATTATTCCAAGCAGGTCCAATGATAGATGGTTTTCATAATGACGTCATGAAACGTTAAAGCCAAAATAGTGTGGTTTTACGAATTCTTATTTACACTAGGTTGAAGATAAACAGAAAGTAAATCTTTGTAAAAGTTTCCATTCCTGTAGCATGTTTCATTTCGAAAATACAGCAATTGGAACGTCTGAGTTTTTACAGTGCGTGACACCAAAATAGGAATGCTGTTTCGTTGAAAAATAGTCTCTCCTCTTGATTTTCAGCAGTATAAACATTTCAAGTATTAGAAGATATGTTCAAGCGCACGTATGCTAGTTCTCGAGTGAAAAGAAAGAGCTTTTATAGAAAAAGTGAACTCCAGATGTTTTTGTTGATTTCCGGTGGCCATATTGGTGCAGCAAAACGGTGCACCAGTATGGCGTCTCCATACAAAGCTCTACAAATGTGCGTGAAACGTTTCGGCAAATAACTCAGAAAGTGTGGGCCACAAAGACCTGAGACTTGGACAAATTGTTTAAAAACTAGTCTTTTATAACATTCAGTTTCTTGGCTTCTTCCACTGGACGGTTTCCAATAGGCCATTTTACAGTTGTGGATCGAAGCGAGGCTGAGGGTGACCTTGTTTTCATACAAACCTTCCTGCTTTATTATGTCAATCAAGTTATCCTTATGCTGACTAGTATGTTTCAAGAACAATTTCCATAACAAAGCAGAGAGGGGTTGTATCAAAACAAGGCACCCTCAGCCTCGCTTCCATCCATAACTGTAAAATGGCCTATTCATTTTTTTGTTGCGTGACAGTGAAAACGATCTATATATA